AGGCTCGGACCCCGGCGGCGTGCGTAAGGGGGTTTTGGAACCGTGAACTTTCGTGCGACATGTGAGACCGTTCGCAATTCTGCCGCGCCTAGTTGCTCTCGTCTTGGAAGCAGGCTTGTCTGAGACCTTCGGAGGCTGCCAGGCGGGCGGCCGACCCGGGCCCGGCCGGGGTACGGTCAGACTCGAAGTCAGACTGCCCGGAAGTTGAAAATCTGTGAGGCTGGGTTGCAGACTGCCCGGAAGTTGAACCTGAAAGTCGGCCGGGCCCCGGGCAGAACCGGCGCAGAACCGCGCGCGAGGCGACGACTGCTTTGACGTCCTCGTCCATGGTCTCCTGGCCGGCGCCATGGCCGCCTCTTCTTCTCCGGCGGTCCCCTGCGATTCAGCGTAACGCTTTTCCGGGAACCTGCCTTCAGAGCGCCACACGCGCGCCCTTCCTGAGCTGAAAGGTGCAGAGGCTGCGGAATCCTACCTGCCGGGGCTGTCTCATCAGAGGTGTGGAGCATCGCGCTGGTGACTGCTGGACGAGCTCAGGACGACACGATCTGGTGGGGCGAGCGTTCTGCGGGGCCGGGGACATGGCGTCGCTCCATAAAGAACCGCTGGAGATGGCCCTGGCGAGGGCCTTTGGGGAGGGAGGGCCCCTCGCGGAGGTGTATGTTGGAAAGATGAGATTCTCAAAGCTGATCCTTGGGATTTGCGGGAAGCTAGAGCGACTGAAAACGTTTCACGCAGACGAGATTGCGTCCATCAAAAAGGGTTTTGAAGAGGAGAAGAAGGAACTGCTGGGCCTCACTGCGGCCGCCAAGGGACAGCCAACCACCGCACGCCAAGTGGAGGCCCAGCCAGTCGCCAAGACTGGCGTGGATGAGGCCAGGCTGGCTGGCAGCGCCGCAGAGGGACGACCTGGGGCGGAGTCCGCGGATGTTGCAACGCTACGCGGGCTGCAGGCGCAGGTAGCGGAGCTGCGCGCAGAGCTGGAGGCATGCGCTGCGGCGCAGGAGGAGAGCGTGACGGGCATCCAGGTGGTGGCCGCGCAGGGAGCCAGGTGCGGCAGGAACACGTGCAACACGGCACTGCTGAAACCCATTGAAGATTTGCGGAAGCGTGTATGAATGATCAGATGATGTGCAAAACGAGTTGGTTGTCGCAGCAGCGGAGGGTTGGTGTCTCATGCTCCCACCTCCTTCAGAACTTTGCGAGCAGGCTATGAAGCAAGAAGAGGGCCTTTATTGAACATTGCATGAGTCAAAACGTTTTTGTAATAAAGCTTGCCCCAGTACTGCAAGCTTCTTTGGCAATTGCTTCTCCTGAAAACGTTTGATGGAAAGGTGGCACCCAAAACGTTCTATGAGGTAAGCAGCCCTGAAAACGTCTTGCTTGAGGGGCAGTCTTTTGAAGGCTATGATTGCAAACCAGCAGAAGAACGTTTCTGTTTAGTACCAGCCTTGAGAAAGTTTTTACAGGACTCCTTTTGTGAAAACGTTCTGATTGAGACACTCCAAGAACGTTTCTTTGCGGAGCAGCCACTAAAACGTCTTCATGCAACAAAAGCCAGCCCTAAAAGCGATTTGAAAGGCAGTCAGCAGCGCTTTATCAAGACACAGCCATGGCAAACCTGCAAATGATCGGGCAGAGTCAGCTTGAAAGGATCTCATAAAGAGTCAGCAACAGCTTGGGTGGAGACATCATTCAAAACGCTTTTGTAAAGACATTTCGTCCATCTTTTGACTCTCTGCTATTCAACCCTAGTAGTTTTTGCAGTGCAGGCAAAACGCTTTGTTGGGGACAAGTTCGAAATTGATTCAGTTGGCAGCAGTCTTGAATTTTGCTTTCTCCATGACATGCAGTCCCCAGAAACGTTTTCGTTGAGAACAAGCGCTCAAGGCGTTCTGCCCGCATGCGCGCCCTGGAAACATTCTCTTTGAAGAGATGACAGAGAAGCTTGGTTTGGAGACGCCAAGTCCGAACGACCTACATCCATTGATGTGCTTGTTAAACGTTTCGGTTGAGTAATAGCCCAGGAATCTTTTTTTGATGGAGAATCTTTTGTGTCCCAATACAGCCAGCCTGGACAATTTCGTCTTGAGCGCCTGCCCTCAGCCCCACTGTGTGCTTGCAAGCTTGTCTCCTCTCTCCCTGGACGTCTCCCATCCGCCGCTCTGCCTGCTCGCTTCTCTGTGGCCCTCTTCCGCATGCTTGCGGCTGTGCTCTGGCAAGGCTTTGCTTCATTATTTTCCCACCCCTGCTGCCTTGCCCTGGCCCTCTGCCCTGTCCTCCTCCGCAGGCTGCTCTGCTCGTCAGGCCCTGCTGATTCATGCCTAAGAGGGCGTCAAAACCCTCGATTGGACGGATTTGCGTCCACTCAAGCGCAAGGCTCGGGGCATGCTCTGGCTGGAGTTGGCAAGGCTGTATAACCGGGCCTGTCTTGCTTCCTGAACATTTTGACGACATGCTTGCGTCGCGATTGCCAGAGTAGCTCCGCCTGAGCCGTCTTGAAGGGTTTCTTCTCCTGGCTGGGCGTCTCGCTGCCACGGGTGGAGCTCAAACATGAGAGGGGTGTGCCAAGATTCAGACCTGTGTTGGTTCTCGTTCGGTTTCATGACCACCAAAGTCCGATGCGCATCTCTGTCGCTGAGGTGGACATCAGAAGCGGGTCCGATTGTCTTTGCTCAATTTGGTGCCGCTGATTGTCCCTGTCTGGGGCAGGTCCTCAAGCGACACAAGCGGGCCAGACGTCTTCAAGAGCACTCGTTTCAACCCTGTGTGTTCAAGTCTGCCGATCCTCCCTGGTCACCGATTGTTGAGAGACAATGGCCGTCAGGACCCTTCGGCGGTTCCTTCCGGGGTTTGCTTTCTTTCCTGAGCCCATTTACCCCTTCGCTTTCAGACCCAGGACTGCCGACTGTCGCCGTATTCTGCAACCTGAAATCGTCAACGAATCGTTCTTGTGCAGGGACTCACGCTGGGTCTTCCGAGCCTCATCTCGTTTGGACCCATTTGTGAAGAAGAGGCTGGTGTCTGTCCCCCGACCCAGGTCCTCTTGCTTTTCTCGCACCCTGGCAGGCCTACACTCCGTGTTCAAAGTGGACGCTAGCTACCTCGAACCGCCCACTTTCTGGTGCATCGTATTTCCTGCTCGATCTAATCACCGCCTCCCCCCTCCTTTCCGTGCAGGTCTGGCTGCCCATCGTGCCAGGCGGTGAAGGCCACGGTGGGTGCCTGGCGCGCGGCAAACGGGCTGGCGGGCGCGGGCGAGACGGTGGCGAGCGCGTACGCGAAGCTGGACCTGCGCGACCGCGAGGCGCTGCTGGCCATCCTGGACCTCGAGAAGGCCGCGCCCGCCGCGGGGCCGCACGACGCACCCCCCGTAGGCGACGAGCTGACAGCGGAGGGCCTGCTGGAGCGGATGACCGACGCCAGTGCGGAAGGAGTCAAGCTGCGGGGCGGCAGCGCGGGCGCGGAGCGCGACGCGCGGGCGGCAGACGGGGACGTGGACGCGGGGTCGAGCCGCAGCAGCGACGAGACGTGGAGCTACGAGGAAGAGCAGAGAGGGGACTCGCGGGGGAGCGCGGCGGTGGCGCAATTGGCGGCGCTGTCGGAGGCGCTGGACGCGGAGGCGGAGGCGCTCAATCTGCGGCTGACGGCGGAGCGCGGGGTGGTGGGGGCGCCCGAGAGGAGCGACTGGGCGCAGGAAGCCAAGGAGGCGCGCGTGAGAAGGGCGGCCGCGGAGGCGCGTGCGCGGGGGGGCAAGGCGAAGGTAAGGGGAGGGAAAGACCGCCTACGCGGGGACGAAGGGGTTGCTGGGGTCCATCCGTTGGGCGGCTGCCCTGTCTCGTAAACCTGGGCACGCAAGGCAGGGGTATGAGGGACGAGAGCCCGACTGTGTCGGATTCGCTCACTCCCGTCGGTTGACGGACGGGCGTTGCAAGGCTCTCTGATTGAAATCTAACACAAAAGCCTTTTCCTGACTCAGCTCTGTCGTGGCCGTGGTGCAGGCTGCCTCGAGTAAGCCTCTGAATGAGCCTTCGCGTCCCCCCAGCCGGCTGGGCCGCCTGCCCGTCAAGACCGCGCGCTACTCAGACAGCGAGGTACGGCCCCACGCTTCGGGCACTACACTGCTCGCGGACCGGCCTCGTGCCTGCCACGTTAGGCAGCCTCAGCGTTCTTCGCAAGCTGCTGAGGACGCTTTCTTAAATGATTGGAATTGCGCGCAACAGCAGATTGTTTTTCAGAAACTCCTTTGCGTCTTTGCGTCCTGCAGCAGTCAAGCCCTCAAATGATGAGCAAGGGAAGGCGCCGCTTCGGACGCCCCTCCCATCCATCTGGGTATTGACCCCCCCCCTCTCTTTCGTGCAGTACGACTTCGAGCTGGAGGAGGCCCCCCCTGCGCGCAAGCGGCCGCGCCCCGACTCGCTGCGCCCGCTGGAGGAGCGGCCCAGCATGCCGCCGCTCACGCCGAGCCCCACCTGGAAGCTGAACGCCCAGCCCGACTGGAAGCCCGCCGGGCCGTCCCCGCGCGCCGTGCTGGGCCTAGCCTCGCCGCAGGCAGCGCGGGGTGGAGCGGGGAGCCTGCCGACCCCGCGCGTGACCAAGGCGTTGGGAGGCGCCGACTTTGTGCGCGAGCTGGACGCGTTCTGCAAGCCCAAGCACGGCAAGGACGGGCCGCGCTTCGAGGGCAAGCTGCGAATCTGGAAGAGCGGCGAGGTCGTCATGTTCTGCCGCTGCGACGCCTGCACCGCCAAGCACGGTGAGCACCTACCCCGACAGCCAGCCGGGCGGCCGCGGGGCTCCTGGCGGCTGCGGCTTGGCGTTTCAGTGGTCCGGGGAACGGGCGAATGTTCGTGTAAACTGAACGTCTGCGATATGAGCTTTGACACGGGTTGAGGGGATATTCATTCTGTCACATCATTGTGTTGGACGGAAGGGCCTTCTCTCGATTGCGTGTTGTCCTCTAGTCTGACGCCGGTGGGTTGTGCGCCGCAGGGCCAGAGGGCGTGGGCATGTCCCCGGTGGAGTTCGAGGTGCACGCGGGCCGCGGCGCGACCAAGAAGTGGCGCCACAGCATCTGGGTGGCCTACCCGCAACTGCATGGCCCACCGCATGAGTCCACCATAGAAAAGTGCGAGGAGCTCAACGGGGGCAAAAACCTCACCCCGGTCGGGCTTACCGCGCCCGGGGCCGCCACGCCCCGACCGCCGCCGCCGCCACCCGCCATGCAGCGGCACGCGGACCAGCTAGTGCAGGTGAGCGCTGAGCGAGAGCCCAGCACGGCTCGTGGGGGTAAGAAGATCTGAGTCTTTCGAAAGCCGTGAGTTCGAAGGGAGATTACCCACTGGTCCAAAGCCTCTGCGACTTTTCTTGGTAGAAGGCGAAGCTTTGAGACACATTGGGTCCGGCTCATTACCTAATTGTTATTACTGTAGAGCTTTAAACTGCTACTCCAGACGTTTGATTCGCCCCCCTGACCGTGCAGTGTAAATCGTGTGGGAAATGGCGGCGCTTCCGGCGTGCGGTGCCGTCCGACTTTGCGCGGGCGGCGCGCGCGGCGGCGGACCCCGACTGGAAGTGCGCGGACCACTACGACGCGAGCGTGGCGAGCTGCCACATCCCGGAGGAGCGGTCGAGCCGCAACCGGCGGCCCGGGTGCGAGGCGTGCTACTTCAGCGAGCTCGGGTGCGCCAAGTGCCGCGACTGCACCGGCTGCAATTACTGCCGCCCCGCGCAGCCGCCCGAGGTGGAACTGCTCGAGTGACAGGCGGCACTGGCGGGCCTTGCGAGGGACGGGGGAATGTATAGCGGTGTGTTTGTCAATCCCGTGTAAGGGTTGCCCGTCAAAGGTAGCGGTCGCTAATCTGGAATTCATAAATGGTAAAGTTAAGAATGTCGACACTGGCCAGTTCGTTGACCCCTTCATCGTAGGCAGGGCTATCCGCTTTGGATTGGATTGCGTTTTCCAAGCTTCTACTGAGTAAGTAACATACCATGGTCTATAATCAGGCTCTTGCAGTGAGGTTATTTTCGTCAATCTCTAGGCAGATTGTTGCATCGACTTCTGCACTTATGATTGGCCAGATTTGTCAGCATGCGGTGCCTGCGGTTAGGCAAGGCAATACCTGCAGTCGGCCGGGCAGTCAGAATCTTGATGTATGCCGGGACAAGAGACAAGCTCACTTGATAAATATCGCCGCACTGTCTACGGCCCATAAAACCAGGACCTTTGTTTGACTCGCATCTTGCAATGGTTACCGATCGTTGCGGATTGATTGCAAGAGCTCATGTATGCCGGCGCCGCAAGTTCCCAGCTCAAGAGCACTGCATCTTTCTCATGAAATTACTTTGTCCTCAGTCCTACGTTTTCAACGCCAGCTTCATTTATGGAAAGGTCCTGACATCGTATCGTTTCCCGCGCATTCGGGAAAAATCGCAAGCTATAGCCCTTGTGTGAGCAAATCCCGCAGCATACATGCAGAGTCCTTGACGACAATGCGTCAGACTGCTTGTTTCCCCCGCATCGTTTAAAGAGTGCCTGACCGTGAAGATAAGGGTGGTGCGCGCCTAAGACCACCTCACCTACACGCCAAATCTTTCCCTCAGGTCACTATGTGTCCTCATTCAGTATGGGCTGGACAATTGATTAGCGAATCGGTTGGGCTCTGTTGCCGCTATAGGTGGCTGTTCACCCTACCTCGTGTCACACCTTGTATAGTAGTGCACAACATGATACATCCGCTGCGCAAATTCGGAATTGCAGTAGGTACAGTAACTTAGTCTTGCCGTATCACTGTGACTGGGGGATGTTGATACGCGATCCTTGATCCTCAAGGCCCCCGCCAAATCCTAGAGGCCACGTGTCACTCCAGGGTCGCATCGGAGCGTCACGTCAAAGTGTTCAGCGACCGTTTGTTTCAACCGCTACAACACGGACAACTGAATGGCAGCACTGGCCGAGGCCAGGCGGTGACAAGCTCCAGATGTGACCTGCGACCCTCTCAATGTTGGCAGGGGGGAGGCGGAGCAGCCGCGCAGACAGGCCGACCAAACCAACACACAAGATTGCAATCCAGTCAGGCTGAGATACAATCATTGATCAACCCGCAATCACCAAATAGATCGCAAGACGTGAAAGGGGCAGGGAGAGATTGCTGAACACTGTGTTGAGGAGTCAAGCTAACTATGTAATTATTCAGGGCGCTATCCCTCGAGAGTTCATTCTCAATTGGTTGACGCAGGAAAGGAGAGGGGGCGCATGTCCTTCCGCTGAGATTCTGGACCCCTCAGGAGCAGCGCCTATCGACATTCAGACTGGAAAGCACGATGCTGCAGGACGCTGTGCATTCTTCAGGGTCGCTGCCTCTGGAAGTGCAGCTTGCGGGGATGTTCAGCCGCGGTGGTCTTTTGGAAGACGCCCGCCTGGGAGGCATGCACGTTGGCAGACTCATGGCTAAAATCACCGCAAGCTTTGAGAGTCTCAAAGAACACCAGGCCGATGAAATCGCAGCGCTTAAGAGAGGCTTTCGACTGGAGATTGAGAAGCTCCTCGGTGACATTCCAGGGGACAGAAAGGAGACAGGACAGGATGTAGCGGGTTTTTGGCATGATGAGTTGGAGACGCGAAGAAGCCACGAGGGATCTGATCCGTCATCAAACACAGAGGAGTCTTCAGAACAAGCCATCACTACCAATTGCACAGAGACAGTTTGTTTGCAGAACAACGAGATCAGCGAGTGGGATCCGCAGGACTGCACGGAGCTTGCGATGGTCTGTTCAGATCCACCCGCTGAGCACCGAACGATGCAAGGAGTTGACAGGTTGGTTGTTCAGAAGAGCATGCTCGTCGTCTCGAGCTTTTGACTAAGAATGATATCCCAGGTGACATGGCCGATATTGACCTGCTTCTGAGGGCCCCCTTAGAGGGCAACCATTTGGAGACTCACCCTCAGACACTCATACGCAGGTCTGGAAGATGCGCACCATCTGCTTACAGCTGTTCTCAGCATCTAGCAAGTTACCATGACAGTCTATAATAATTACCTTAAGAGACATGTCAATCGTTTCAAGAGCATTTCAGAAGCAATTGGACGTTGTCTGTCAAGCAGATTGACAATCGCATCCTGTAAACGTCTCACTTCTGAAATTTTTTCGTTTGCAAAGTGATCGGAATTCGGCAAGTTGGTCACTGCGCCAGCAGGTTTCTTCGCTTCGAAGGAGCGGTGTACTACTCTTCGCTTCTTTTCTACCAGCAAACGAAACCCCACGAAGTGAGAATGAAATAATAGCTCGGCGCAGACAGTTCGGCAGGAGTTGCAGTAGGCACCAAGCAGGCTAAGTTTTCAGGCCTTCACATGCGCGAGGTAGTAAACATGTACTCTGCACAATCATTTCAGCTCCAATTATTCTCGTCTCACCCGGAGGTTGCTTTGAGTCAACAGGACTTCTGGTCATCTCAGATTCATCCAACTTGAGTCGACAGGTACATCTCGTTGGCAGAAGTAGTAGCACTCAATTGAAGCTTGCGTTCATTATGGCGCTTACAGGCTTACGGTTCTGCAGAATCCTGACTCGTAGTTTATGCATCCTCTGAGACGGTCTTTAAGGAGCAGTCCATGCGCTCTCACTGCCGCTTCGTTCCCTAGCAATGGCGTGGTTATCAGCTTGAAGGGACATCTCCTGATTTCTGCGACCCCTGTGCAGGTCGCCCCCCTTCCCAGCCCCCCTCGCCGGCACCTGCAAGCGCGCCTGGGACAGCATGGAGATGCTTCAGCGCACACACGGTTCGCACTGCCACGTGGATCAGCCTGTGAGTGGAGACCTGCCTGGGTGGGGCCAGGGCCTGTTGTCCCCCGCCAGCGTGCTCCCGACGGCCTCCTTCTCCGAGCAGTCCGGCATGTCATCGGAGTGGGGGGCCGAGGCGCGAGACACCGCGGGCAGCAGCGCGTGGGGCCCGCGGTCGGAGGAGGCGGACCGCGAGAGCGAGCGGCTCAACCTGGCGCTGCAGCCGGAACAGCGGATCGACGACAGCCAGGACGCGCCCTGGCGGAAGGAAGCCGCGGAGGCCAAGCGCAGGTTCGAGGACAGCCTCGCGCAGAGCTGGGCGCCGGAGCAGGCCGCCAAGGTGAGGCGACACGACTGCTTGGTCTGACCGTGAAGCACGACTTTGGCTTGGTCAGCACATGTCATTTGTAGAAATGACGAACTTCTTCTCTTCGGAGTCAGCGCCTGATCATCTCTGGGATGCGAGTCGAGATACTTCCACCGGAAGCTTTTCACCTCCGAAATGCCCTCTTCTCAGTCTCCTTGTTCTTCTCGATTCCGAATCCTCAGCCTGGTGTCCCAGATTACTCTGCCACTCACGAGCCGCAAACAACCACGCGGAACGCCCGGCCTTGGCTGCTCGCCTTCACCCCCGACCCCAAGCCCCTTCACGGCCGCCGTCGTCATCCCGGCCACTGCTCCTTCCCCCGCGGCCAAGCGCGTCCGGCGCAGCCAGAGTCCCTTCCGCGACTACCCCAGCCCCGCGCCCGAGCAGAAGCTTCCCCCGCGGCGGCCACGCCTCTGTTCCCGAGCATAAAGCGCGCGCGCACCAAGCGGCTCGTGGCGGCCGTCCAAGTGGCGGTCCTCGCACTCCCCTGCCCTTTCCCTCCCACCGCCGCCGAGCAGCGCCTGCCGCCCCCGCAGCCGCCCGTCGCCGCCGATCACGGACAGCCGCTGACGTCACCGGCTGCTCCGGCCTCCCCCCGGTCGCCGGCCCCTTCCTCGCTGAGCCCGAGCGCGTTGCTGGCGGACGAGACGGTGCACAAGTACCAGGCGTTCTGCAAGCCCAAGTCGGGGACGGAGGGGGCCAACTTCGAGGGGACGCTGTGCGTGATGCGCAGCAAGAGGGCCATCGTCATCTGCGCCTGCCGAGACTGCGTGGAGACGCATGGTGAGCAAACAGGAAAACCGAGATTGCAAATAAACTGCGAGGCGGCTTCGGAGTGGTGCTAACTTCGGTGTTCGTTTCAAAAAGAAGCTGGTGAGTGGAAGATGAAGGTAGCAGATGCTTAACTTTTGCGAGTCTTGAGAAGATGGAGAAGCCCTTTTGTCTGAACAGCTTCGCTTGAGATTTCGAATCCATTCGACAGTGGTGAAAGACTGTGAGGGCCCATTTCAAGTTGATCCAATTTGGACAAGATCGAAATGCCTTCATGTCCATGGCACTTATGCGGTTCAAGACCGTGTTCTGACAATAACCCTCGCTCTGTGCTTTTCTGCGCCAGGCGCGGCGGGTCGCGGTCTGTCTCCGGTGGAGTTCGAGGCCCACGCGGGGCGGCTGCACCACAAGAAGTGGCGCCAGAGCATCTGGGTGCGCCTCCCCGCCGCGGGCGGCCCCCGCGAGACGACCGTGGAGCAGTGCCGCGCGCTGCAGGGGGGCAAGCACCTCGTCTCCGTGCCGGCCGCGCCAGACGCGCCGCCCGTCAGGACCAGCTCGCAAGCGCCCGGCCGACTGCGGCACAGCGGGAGTTCCGGGGTAAGCACGACGTGAACTCAAGCTGTTGATAGGATAGTATGAAAAGATGTCCCCTTTCTGTTGAATGGATCTGGTCTCTTAGATGATCAACGTCGAGACGAGCCTCGCAAATTGAGGAACCTCTTGCTTGTCGTGCGCCTTTTTCAAGGAAAACCTCGCTATCTGTTTTTGGTTTAGCTTCTCTCGGACCATGCTCGGTTGCATCATTCATGTGTAGCCAAGCGCAGGTGCTTTCGAATCCTAGCGCTCCCTTCTCGTCCATTCATCTCTTTTCCTGACTTTCCGGATTCAGGTATCACGGTGCACTACTACGCGGAACTCGGCGAGCACTTTCCACAAGGCGGAGGAAGGACCTTCCAAAGAGTAATCAGTTGTTGGGAAATGAGTAAGGCTACGTTGAAGGGTGTCAGAGAAGTATTCCGATTTGCATTGATGTATTGATCAGATTGAAACTCTCAGAAAGAACAATTTGTCGTTTGCCTGTAAGCCGGCCATTAGGCACTGCTGTTCGTTGTTCTTGACAGATCGTTGCTCGTACTGCCAGCACTGGATTACAGCAGACGGAGAAAGCGGCAAAAGTATTGACCTTTTGAGGTTAGCAGAGTTGGCACAGAGGTTTAGGATTGTGGATCAGGACGGATTACACCAGGTGATTGACGGCGTGGTTTAAGATTAGGACTGCTGGATTAAGATCGTGATTGTCAGGTACTTTGTAGGTTTCTACCCTGTTACGACGTTGTCAAATGACGTGACATGATAATAATCAATTGTTACGACTCAATCGTAGACAAGGCATGTGCAAGTTTATCCTGCTTGAAGAGCCTCACAAAGTGCAACGTGAAGGACGCATCTGAACGGCCGTTCCTATAGCATAATCCTGTAATAATTTTCACTTGGAGTTTCGCGTCCATCGCCTAAAGGCTATGCAAGTCAAATGTTGTTGCGGATGGAGCGATGAATGGTTGCTGGCTTCCGGTTGCCGTTCTTGTCTTATCTCGACTATCCGTTTTCATACACGTCTACTTCGTAAAGAATTATACTCCACAGAAGGGCCACTGAGCTAGCGCTCCCATTGGGCAAGTCAAGCGAGCCGCGACAAGCACAGCTTTTAGCGCAGCTTGTCGAACTAAGAACCTGCGCACTTGGTTGTGGAAGATACGGCTACATTCACGAACCGGGCATCCCTTTCTCCTGTATTATTTCTTCATGTTTTGCACTCGTTCCGGCACAGCCCTAGAGAGGAAGCATTGTGGACACAGCCTGCGTTGGGACCAGAGGGATCAAAAGGGCGTCGCTTGACGTAAGCGCATGAATCTGGAAAATGAATGAATGACGTTTGGAAGCAATTACTTGAGCCCAAGTTTAACGATCCGCAAAACCAGCTCAAAATTAGAGGACCCTCGGAGCTCGCGAGGGTCGCAGCAATCGTGAAGACAAAGAACTGGCTTGCATCGACTATTCCTCGCAGAATGAAAGGGTTTGCCGCGAGGATGTCTTCCGAGCACATGGATAATCTTAAGGTTCCAAGGGGAACAACCTGAAATATAAAATGCATGTCTATCGTTTCAACTTTGAAGTAAGTCCAAACGACTGACAATCAATGAAAAACTGCAAGAAACTTCTTTGAAACCTCTGTCTGGTTGCATGTCATCTTTGCGCTGTTAAGCTAACCGCAACTTTCCTAACTTGTGGGTAAAGATTCTGACCAGCTCGGGCATGAGTCCCAGCCACGCCAGGTCCTTGCCTCGAGCCCGTTCTCTTGGACTTTCCGAATGAGCGCGCTGCTGCTGGTCCAAGGCGGTACGCTCTAGGCCGGCGACCGTCGATGCGGCCAACGCGATACGCTGCCGCGGTGACGCGACGGCTCGCGCCCTGCTGACATTGACACTGACACTCAGCAGTGACACCGAAGACGAGATCACGGCCCCACAGTGGACTGGTGCCATGCAGAGCGCGGCGGCGATATGCGGTAGCGAAGTCGTCGACATTTTCAAGTTGGTCTTGGAACATTCAAGCCTTCTAAGATCTTAGCTCCAAAAGCTGGGGTGCAGTCTTACAACTCCACGGTTGCGAGCATGTCTCTCAGGACCTGCGGCAGGTGTCAAATCAAAGGCGCACCACCTAAGAGGCAAGCCTAGAAGCTTGGAGGCGTTCACAGCTGCATGATGCTCCAGTGAACTTTTTGTTTCCGAGCATTCAGTTTGGCTACTAGGGTTGCTGAACTTAACATTGCTACAGTAGAGGGTTTGCAAAGGGCGCTTTACCATGGCTCCCCGTCGTCTGCCTGCAGATCTTCATGTAAAAAGTCCTCCCTCCAATTCTGTGCGAGGTAACGATCCGCTGAAGAACGCGTACCTTGGAGATCTGCACTTCCGCACGCTTCTGGAAGCGATAGCAGGCAGGCTGCAGTGTCTCGAGTCGCAGCACGAACAAGACGTTGCATGCCTGCAAAACAGCTTCGCGAGGGAGAGGGACGGGTTGCTTGCTCAGCTAAGCCGCCAAGATGGACAGGGCAAAGCCGAGGAAATGATGATGGGGGTTTCTGAAACGAAAGGAGTCGCTGGAAAGGATGAGGTCACGCAAGAGAAAGGGGAAAGAGGCTCTGAAGGGGCGACACGTCAAGCGATCGAAAGCAGTACCGTAAATCACAGACGTTCATCTCGTGGAACAGATCCTGACCCTTGGGGAAAAGAAAGCATTGCAAATAGAGCTTTCCCGCAAGAGGGTGAGCAGGTTTTCAGCGGTAACGTGACTGAAGCTCCGTTTGCAATAGAAGTCTCGAAAGAAGCAGAGCCGGCCAAGGTGATATTCGAGCCGTCCGAGTGGAGAGCAAAGGAAGACGACGATTCAATGCACGAGAGCAAGACACAAGGGATACACAATCAGGATCAGTCACTGAAACTTCTACGGCCCTCTTCGCTGGTGCAGGTCGGAGAAGAAAAGGCTTCAGGCAGACTTCTTGATTCCTTCCTTTCCAAAAATAGCACAGAGTTGGTGCAGGTTGGAGGAGAAAAGGCTTCAGGCAGACTTCTTGATCCCTTTCTTTCCAAAAACAGCACAGCAAAGCAAGCAGTACATATGGACTCGCACATGAACGCAGAAGCGTTATTGACAGATCAAGGAAAGGGCACAGTGCCTGTGGCTCTGGATTCGACCGAGCCTGGACCTTATTCTGCCAGCCAGTTCGACGTTGCAGTGAGCCAGATGCAGGACGCAGCCCGCAGAGAGGCAGTGAGGTGCACCTGCGTGCATGCAGGCTTCCTGAGCCAGCTGGGGCGCCTGTCACAGCAGAAAGCCAGGTGAGAGGACGCCCGACGGATTCAGTTTTTCATTGCGCCCCATCATATATTTGACTTCTGTACTCTGACGCGAGGACGACCATCGTTGCAAGATACGATGGCGTGCTCCTGTTTGACTCAGCAAGAAGGAATGCCAACATGGACAAGGCAGAAAGTAGTTGTTGTTTGCAAAGCAATGGTTAAGACTTAGTTTGCTTTTATCCGCATGCTTGATTGTGGAATTGCCGTTTTCAAGTCGGGTGAAACATTGTGTGAGGGTGAGACAAACGATCTCTGTCAAGTTTATTTTCATTTGTCTTATGCTTTTATTCATTTTCAGATCCTGACGGAAAGTATCTGGTGCGAAGCTCTTTAAACCCGTTCTAATATGACGACATTTCGAACTTGTGTTGGTAAGCATGTTCGGCAGCTGAGCGTTCCATCCCTGCAGCGGTCGCTGCGCGGTGTGCCGCGAGGTGGAGCGGAGCGCGCGGTCGTGGCAGGCCCAGAGAGGGGACTGGCGGGACGACCCAGGGGCGGCGGAGAACGCGGCGCTGGCGTTGGTAGACATCAAGTGGAGCAGGACAAGCGTAGAGGCGATGCTGCTCCGCATGAAGGCCCGGAACGCCAACGGAACGGCAGCAACTGGCGAGGGGGGTCAACGAGCACCGCTGACGTGGACGGATCACGGCGAAGACGCACTTCCTGGAGCTGACATGAGCCTCTGCAGCGATCAAGATCAGGGGCTGACTGTCAAGAGCCTGAGCCAAGGCGACGCTTCGGGTATCAGGGAATGCGCTGAAATGAAGGAGAGCAGCAGAGACGTGAAAGACAGCACAAGCACCCCTGAGGAACTCGAGACAGAACAGCAAATCGATGGCCTGGCTCTAAATAGTGAGGTTCTCTTGGAAGGAGAAGGAGCGCAGCCTGCGGAGGACAACGAGACGGTAGACGCGCGCGAGCGCGAGCGGTGGTCGCAGCAGATGCGCGAGCTGGCTGCCAAGGTCAACAGAGAGGCCCAGGGGTGGCAACGGTACGCGCGAGCAGCAGGCGCAGCGGCGGTGGGGAAACGGACGGCGGCAGGAAGGCGTGGCAGAAAGACTGTGATACGGAAGCAGGAGGAGATCGCACCAACGGGGGCAGTGACGAAGCGTGCCAAGGTGCTGCGGCAGGGGCCCCGGCAATCGTGGAAGCGGCGGGAGGCGCTGCAGGCGGCGGAGGAAGAGGCGCCGCGCGAGGAGCCGCGAGGATCAAAGATGCGCGGGGGATCAGGGAAGCGCGGGAAGAAGAGCATGAGGCACCACGCGGCAGGAAGAAGGGGCAGGAAGCGGACGGCGAACGACGCGGAGGTTGGGGGGACCGAAGAGGTGAGTAGCCTTCCGAGCGAACGGCGGGGGGTGCATTGCGCAGTCTCTTGCCGCGCCGCCAAAGGAATCAAGCATCACCAGAACTTAAATATCTTGCCGTGCGCCGCGGTGCTGACTTTAAGATTGTGAATACCGTTATAACAAGGGCAGCAAGCCAGTGGGGCTCGTGACGTGTACTACCAGTAAGGAGCTGCTCATATCAAGAAAGGAACTTTGCTAGCGCTAGGGATCCTGAAAGCTATTTACAGTCACATTAAGGATCATCTTCTTCCAGGATCACGTGCTGACTACGCTTGACGGACCGGGGCCCCTTGCGACCACCGCGGGCGCGCAATCCCCGCTGAAAAGATTCGCGGGTGCCAGGACAACGGAGGTTAGCCGTGCACATCTTAGTCTTAGAAGCTGTTCCTCGTTCCTTGATTGCCAGTACTTATGTCAGTGTTCTTCATGCTCGAGATCCACGTCTACTCGAAGGCCTGCAGACGCTTGGTGGGTCATTCTATGCTTCGGTGGGTCCGGCTAACCGGAGCTGCGCAGCGACTCACTTGGCGTCCGTTTCTCGTGCAGGTTGCAGAAGCACCTGCCGCCGTCTTCGATCTGTCCCCCGTTCCCGGTAACCCCCCCTCTTCTCCCAGGCATGCCCGCTTTCAAGCGAGGGCCGGTCCTGCTAGCCCGCTTCCACGTGGCCTGGCCCCGCAGACCCCCAGTCCCGTGAGAGAGCCCGCGAGGGGTCCGCCGGGCGGGGGCGACGTCCCCCCCGAGGCGGCGCTGAGCGACGCGCTGTGCCTGGAGGAGTACCCCGTGTTCTGCAAGCGCAAGCCGGGGGCGGCGGAGGGCGGCGTGCTGCCGGGCAAGCTGCGCATCTGGCACGGCGGCCGCGTCATGGTCGACTGCCTCTGCGCCGACTGCACCCACAGCTGCGGTGAGGGGCTGAGCTCTGCTTCACTGACGGCGGGACTAAGTTCAACCCCGATGATTGAATCCTGCCAATGGATGCATAGAGACTCTCACGATGGGCATGGTGCTCGAAGCACGATTATTTGGTTCTTCCTTCTGGATCTCGACGTTGGTACGCGAAAAAACACGCCAAAAAAATGAAACGCAGCTTGGATACAAAGATGTTTCCGACATGGACTCTTGCTCACGTCGATAAACCTGCCGGGCTTCCCTAAATGTCTGCCGTAAATGTTGTTGCCCTACTCTTTTATGCTCAGTGCTGTCCTTTTTTACTAGGCCCTCCCGGCGCACGTTGAGGATCTGGCAGTCTTTCAAAGAGCCGATCCGTTCTTCTTCTGCCAATCCAGCCCGTTCGCGCATCTTTTGGGTAATCTCTACGCCGTGCCGGTTGCTTGGTCTGACCGCCACTTCTCGCGTCTCGTTTGTAGGGCCTACCGGCCTGCGGATGTCCCCTGTGGCCTTCGAGGCCCACGCGGGGCGCGCGGCTGCCAAGAAGTGGCGCACCAGCATCTGGATCCGCCTGCCCGCCACCACGGCGGACGGGCCCCCGCGCGAGTGCACCCTGGACGACTGCCGCCAGCTGAGCAAGGGCAGAAGGCTCGTCCCGGGCGTCACCGGGGCTGCGATCGGAGGCGTTTGACCGGTCGACGCTCTATCGAGGCCTTAAAGTAGACACAGCATGTGTGCCGCCACGTTATTACTCACCAGCGAGCTTGGAAATCTTAGAAGAATTTGTGCCTTTGCAGACACCGAAGCGGTCACAATCTTTGGTCTATCTTGTCGCTCATAGTATGGACGAAGGTTTCGTTGATGTCGGGCGATTTCTTACAGACTTCAAGCCAGCCAAGGTATGCTACGTTGAAGTCATGGCGTTTCTGCTAGATGATCGGTCGAGAGCGTTTTGTGCTACGTGCGAGAACATTTAGGACTCAGCCGTTGGCTTTGTGTGCATGAGCTGAACAGAGATCTACTTAAGCCATGTCTTGCTGCATAATGATGCGGCCACTCTGACGGAACCAATTGTAAATATTGCAGCATGACTTCTGAAGTTTGATGTGCAGGAGCCTACATATGAACGTTACAGCACATGCTGATATCGTCAATCGCAATGTTGGACAGTCCCCTGAACCCGATGCAGTTTCACCAAGAAGTTATGCATGATTGGACGATACAAGTTCTGTATTATGTAACTTCCATATGACATGAGCCTGTTTGTGCCGTGTACGTGATCCAGCTTCTTGACTGTGCGAAAGCCCCGCATCCGTGTTAAGATTGTGCGGATGACTAAAGAAGTCTGCTCTAATAATGAACGACACGCAATCATATATAAACAGTGGACGAATGGGTGGACTTGGCCTCACGTCTACTTCCTTCTCGTCACGTTTGCATACACTCTGCCGTGTAGAGCTTCGGCTTGGACACGAGGAGGTGCAGTCCGTTGGCCAGCAGGACGTAGTACACCATGGCCGCTGCAGCCGTCACAAGGGGCGGAGTTCAGTCGAATCCGGTGCACTGACATCCCACCGCTGAGATCCTGGGGCGTCCAAGTCATCATTGAAGCAAGTCGCAACGACACGAGGTTGTGATTCATTCCTCTTTCATCTGATCTTGACTTGTAGTGCAAACTGGGGCAGCAAACGAGCATGCTTACCAATTTTCTGAACGATGTAGATGGCCGAATAGCCTGGTCGATGCCACACCCTGTCATGCGGACAGTGCAGAAACTCGAGGGCCTGCACAGCAAAGCAACGAACAGGCACTTATCTGACTCTGTGATTCATCGAACCTTGAAGCGATTCATCTCAAGCCCAAAGTAACACGCACAGACTTTGGTTGTTCGCAGCCTCGTTCTAGGCCGTTGCATTAAGGGCAGTCCAAGGTGCGCAACACGACAATGTGACCCCAGTGACAAGGTCCTTTAGCACAAAGTGTGCATATTTGTTGTAAGCGGGGTCACGGCAGAGGGAGGGCGGTCACGGCAGAGAGAGGGCGACCACAGCAGCGCTCACCAGGCGGTACAGCCGCAGGAGGAGGAAGAGCAGGAAGTGGATGAGGCACGCAGAGAACAGCGCGCGGTTCCGCACAAACACTTCTGCAAAAGTTGGCACTCCCCAAGTCAGAGCCACGTCGCTTGGGATGCAAGCTGTGAGATGCACAACTGGTCCCACGAGGTTGCAAACTCTGAACTTCAGCCCGTCTCATGATTCGAGCCATATGCAAAGCTCGGCGGTGACATAGCATTAGATCGAATTGTGCATGCCTTGCGTACGAAGAACCTGTCTCAGCTTAAACAAAATATACTCATATAACGCCTACAATATTAAGAAAGCTAAAGTGCTTTGCATCCGGGGGTGCCTACTCACTGGCGTAGAGTGCCTTCTTGACCAGGAAGGTGGATGACAGCAGGACGTAGAACGTGATCCAGGTGGCAAACAGGACAAACAGCTGCACGCTGTAAGAGGTGCCAGAAGATGGGACACATCAGTCAAATAATCAAAGTGAGCAGGCCGAAGGTCAGAACTTCTTGTTGCAAACCAATAATACCACAGCGCGCACTGCATTTACGACATTTATGATTGGATGTCCAGCTCGCAAGATCGTTTCCAGCTGAAGCTTGACGCCATTGATCGGCACGCGTTCAATCAGTGGGGCGGCAGCTGTCCCGGCATCACCTGAATGCAAGGACGTGGAAGACCAGCTGGGTGGTGGCCAGCTGGTCCAGGTACGTGGCCAGCACCAGGTCTAGCCCCAGCAGCAGGTATGCCACGCCCAGCGTGTACTGCACCCAACAGGGGCACCCATGATCAGCACTGTTTACTGGGGCTATCTGGGCGGGAAGCTGCTGCACAACTGCGCTATGCATATAAGCACACAGCCGGAGGCAACATAGGATCCGCAAATGCACTGCATGTCTATCCAAAAACAGCGGGCACTGGAGGTGCTGAGCTCAGAGACGGCTCACAAAATGGCAGGTGGCAGCTGGAAAGGCCCTCGAATCACTATGCAACTCGTCAATTCTTATGTTGGTCTTCCGCACATTATCTCTGGTCAGTGATTATTGCGTCCATAGCGCAGACCTACCAAAAACGTGCTTTCGATGGCCACGTCTTTGTCTGCAGCATGAGCTGGCGGCCACACTCCAGGTCGGCCCGCCGAAGAGGCATCCTTTGCCTCAGCCTTTGATCTGAGGCTCAATGGCACTGCGCTGGACAAACTGCAAGCAGCTTGAGCAGCCACCTTCCGGGTCGCCATCGACCTTTCAGACAACTTACCCTGACCCTAGCCACCTTCCTAGATTCCTCAAACAGGCGCCAGAAGGGCGCCGGAGTCTAGACATGCTGTGACCCATTCCTGCATGGGGCCCTGCATTGAAGAATGGAAATTAGGGTTTGAGATTCTGCGGAGCTGAGTCTATAGGCTCGTGGCATATGGAGTACCCAGCTGTGTCCAGACGGTGCCGGGTGCAGTCGGGATCGGGAACTCCGGAGCAATCCACAATTGACGGCGGCGATGGACGAAGCTGCATATATCAACGGATGGAAAGCCTCAAACCTACTACTTTAATGCCTGGTACCGACCGCCCAGTTGTCTGCTTCTCCAGTCAAACGAGGTCGCCGACGACGCCGGAGTCGGAGGGGTTTCCCTGATCCGACGGCCGCATTTAATGCAAGGTAGAATCTGCATAATGCGGCCCAGCTCTTTGACACCGCACATGACGAGCTCTGGTTTATTCGGCTTCTGACGTTCTTCGTGTCAAGTCGAGGGTGGAAGCGGCACTCTGGGCCCACTGTCCAAGAATGTCGTCCTGTGGGACGCTAGGTACGGCGGTCCCAGGTCAATGTGCTCGCACTTCGAGCCCTCAGCCTCACAGCAAGGGTGGGAGGACCACCCATGGACTGTCCCCCATTTGCAGATGAGCACTGCAAATCATTCATGATTGTGAAGTTGCCTATGCAGAACGGCTTTTAAAAGGAGCCTCGTAAGACTCAGAAAAGCAAGAATCGAATCCTTGGAGGTTTTCCTCTCAAACTCTGCTCGTCGTGTACATCTCTCGAAGCAGAACCCTCCCTTCGCCATGGCTGGCGCCGCATGCATCGCATCCTCCCCTGCTTCGATTGCCTCTGCAATCGGAGCTTCTGTGCAGCGCGTCGTACAGCAGGAGCGTTCGCATGGACGTGTGCGGGGGCGCATTGGGCCTGGGGTTGCTGCTTCTGGCTGGGCTGGCAGCAAGACTGCCTTCCTGCACACCCGGCAATGTCCCATGGGGGGAACAGCAGGCAAGATGCCAGGAGCTGCCAATGCACGGCGCAGCGCAGCTAGAGCTGCCCTGGCAGAGAGGTAGGGAATCCCTGAGAGGGCCATTCACAATCTTTTTCAAGAAGAATTGCCTGAACAAGCTGTCGGTTTGCAATAATGGGGCATTCACATCGGGCAATTCTCTTTTAGAACCCCTATTTGATGGAATCTGACACTTTGAGTAATTTGCTGCTCCTCTGATAGGATGACTGACAACCTAGTGTACATATTTGACTTTGATCATCTTGAACTCCACAATATGTTCTTCCTTGTTAAGTTGCCATGGCCTCAGACTTGGTGCAAAGAAGCACTGCCTGCTACATGTCACTCCATTCTATAGGAGCTGGTAGTTGAGAACCAAGAGAATTGACTCTTTTGTTTCGCAACGTTTACCTCACCCGTTGTTCTTGTCTCTCTCTTATATCAACGATCGCGGTCGCCTATATTGCCTGGTTGCTTTCTTGGCCCCCATCGTACGTGCAGACTACACACGCTAGCCCAACAGCACGGCCAAAGACAAGACTGTCTATTGTCTTGAAGGGCAGTCAACAGAAGCGCCTTTTTTTCAACCCCTCCAGATGTGTTTTCCCCCTCTGTGCAGACAACCTGCTACAGCGGAGGCGGCCCACCAGCTGCCCGCTGCGTCGGATGCCCCGCTTGGCCTGGACGTTGACACACTGCAGCTGGCCCTGCATTCTGCGCTGCTGTCAGCACTGGCGTACAAGAGCCCCGTGCAAGTAGAGTACCTGCGCCTGCGCGCCAATGGCAAATCCCAGGAGCAGGCGCTGAAAGTCATCGAGGAACAGGTCAGGACGCACATGAGTTGCAACCATAATGACGCAATGCGCAGAGGCCATATGTCTGTTGATGCTGCCAGCTATTTGGGCAGTCAAGAGCATGTCAGAAAGTGCTGCTGGAACGAATTTTTGCTTCCTAAGAGCCAGCCAAAGCTCTGCCTTGAAGTCTGTTGACATCTTCACCATGCATTTCCAACTCGTATGTTGAGAACTGCCATGCTCTGAAGAGCTTGCAAAGAGTCTGTCCGTCATCAATGTGTACCCGCTGCATTGACCGCCAAAAAAGCTACTCAGAGTGGATTGGTTGAGCATCACACATTGATCAGGAGCTGTTGACTACCAGTGCTGCAGTCTGGGGGTAGCATGATATAGGACAGCAGCATCCCATCAGGAGTTTTGTCTGCCGACCACCGTGGCTGTTGTTTGGGAATGTGCATGAAGATTGCCTGGGAGTTCCCCCAGCGAAAGGATTTTAAGACCCAGGCCTACTTAGCCTGATCTCCTGTAAAAAGCTCTCCTTGAGAGCTTCTGGAAACAGCCCACCGCTGGACACTGCACAGCAAGTTCCCTGTTGACCCCTCCTTTTCCAGGACACCCTGCCAGCCTCTCACCCTTCTTCCTTTTCACTGTGTAGGCAGGCACGACTCCTGCCGAGCTGGGCGACCCAGCCAAACTGGAGCAGCTGGAGAAGGAGAACAAGGAGCGCGGTTTTACCGACATCCTGACGCAGTTCGATGAGCCATCGCAGTACTTTGACGGCAAGCAGAGCCTCTTCATGAAGGCCACCGTGGTGAGGCCACTCACTGCTAACAGACGCATACGCATTATGCGTCAACCTCGTGCCCGTCACAATATTAACATGGATTTGGTGGAAGTTACTGCGGCAGGTCAGCGGATCCTGGTCCTTGTCACAAGCATGCGTTTGGCAGAATCCTTTCATTTGCGCACGGCGGTTGCCCCTTGGCAAAGTATGCTATGCACAACTGCGAGCGCTAGCCTTGTTGCGTGTTGCCATTCTCCCTGCAACCCTGAATGGCATATCCAGATCTCTTTGGGCTCCCGTTGAAGTTTGTTTGTCAGCCATGCCACACCTCTTCATGCTGTGTCGATGATTGTAGCCCCTGAAGTATCCTCCTGTTACCGCACCAGCATAAGATCCCCATTTGCCGGCACGTCCACATTTTCGGGCCTTCTCGCACAAGCGGTGCCGTGCTCATCCCGCCCCCTCCCGCCATGCTGCCGCAGGCGTACGTGTTCTTTTGCCCGACGCCCAAGGGCCAGCGCAATGTGCTGTACTGCGTGTTCCGCGGCACCGAGGGCCTGGAGGACATGGTGGCCGACCTGCAGCTCGCGCAGGTGCAGATCGCGCCGGAGCCGCCCGCGGGGAACCCCAACCTGATCGGGGACATCAAGAAGATCATGCTGCACCGCGGCTTCCGCGACCAGTACGTCGCAGTCGCCACCGCGCTCACCAGGAACGTGGAGGTGAGCGGAGGCGGATGAGTAGCGGAAGCGTCGAGCGGGACGCAGCAGAAGTTGCGTGGTCGTTTGAGCACTTTCGAATGCTCCTGAAGGGGCCAAAGCGGATGTTCTGGAGTGCAGGAAAGGAGTTCCAGAGAAGCACGTGTTCCTCGACTTATTGAGTCCCTGCCAGCACGGCCACACATTGCTGTGTGCACCAGACTTGCAGAACAAATCAAGCAATTTGAAGACAACCCGATGTCCCTAAAGCATCGAACCCTGAAGCATCGAACCCTAAAGCATTCTAAGAGCTGCTTTGTGGGAGTGCAACTTTTGAAGGACTCGACACGCGAGCCAATATCTCAGCTTGTCTTGTCGTGGAGTTTCAATATTCATTATTCCTGGATCATCACTTTTGATGATCCAGGAATAATGAAAGATGTCAGAAACTCGTGGAACTGAGCTTTGATCGTTCCTAATGCTTTTGCTGCGCAGGCTGCTGCGCGTGCGGTGCTGCACAGCGGGGATTCGGTCGCCTCTGGCCCCGCCCGCCTGACGGACCTGTTCAAGGCCAAGGTCGCCAAAGAGGCCGCCAACGACATCGACGGCTTCGAGGTCGTCGTCACAGGTGGGGCATGACACGTCACGGCCCGGGGCCAACTCCCTGTTAAACCGGGCAACCCATATTCTTGGAGCATTTGACACCTGACGTTGTAATGTGCATCTGAGAAATGACCGTCAAAATGCGTTGCACACCGTCAACACGAAGGCCTGTCGACTCCTCTTCGTTTCCTTCTTGTCTCGATCTTCTGGCGGACACATGGCTACCACTCATCCAAGTCAGCCTCGAGCGCGACTGCCCTTCGTGTTCGGCCAGCTCTGCTCTTGACCAATCTGTGGCAGCTCGCCGCTCTTCTCCTTCCTCCGTTCGAGGCCCCCTAGGCAGAACGGCTCGCTGACCATCGTGCAAACAAGTGCCTTTGCTCCAACTATCTGCTAGTGCCCCTCTTTCCCACCCATCTCAACTCATTTGTGGCCTCACTCCCCGCAGGCCACTCTCTGGGCGCGGCCCTTGCGACGATTGGGTCGTTCGTGGCGGCGCTGGAGCACCCGCATGTGCGCGTGCACTACTTCGGCTTCGGCAGCCCGCGCGTGGGCAACAGAGCGTTCGTGGAGGCGTTCCGCCGCGTCATCAGCGGCCACGCCGTGCACTTCGCCAACCGGAACGACATCGTGACCGGCATCCCCATCCCGCCGCTCTACATGCACGTCCTCGGCGGCCACATGCTCGACCAGGTGCGCGCCCGCCGCGCCCGCGTGTCCGCTCGCGGAATTTATAGCTGGTGCACAGTGGAACATTTGCAGTAGTTTTTGCTCTTCCCGTCTCCTTTTAAAGATCATCTGCTGGCGGACAGCTCGGATGCGGGCTTGTCCGAACGAGGCATGTGCCGGTTGCGTCAGCTAGCGACGCCCTTCTTTCTACGTCGCAAGCTACGTCGCAAGCAGAGAGTCTACTTTCAAGCTACTCTGCATTTGGAACACCAATCGCAGCAGCAATCTTAGAAGGTATATATCAGGCCTAAAATTTAATTCATCTTTTGCGGCGGTGGCGTGCAGGCGGGCAGCAAGGTGACCGCATCGGCGTTGCAGGACGAGACGGGCGGCCTGAGTTCGACGGCGCAGTGGTTCGCCAACTCGCTGCAGTTCGTGGGCTGGTTCCGGAAGCAGAAGGACACCGTCCTCTGGTCGCAGCACGACATGGGCCTCTACATCGCGCGCGTGCGCGCCCTGCTGCAGCAAGCCAAGGCCGGCAAGTGATATAAGCAGACGAGACGAGTATTTATATGCCCCGGTAACCGCGATGCAAAGCGGAATGGCGCCTTCCGGACTGACACCGGACTGTGTTTGGAGTGTGTTTGCTGACAGCTGATATATATACATGTGTGAGAATAGTTTCCATTTTGAGTGGGGTTTGGTCTACACAGTTAGAAATTAAGCGTGGGATTGAGCTGCTCTGAGCTAGGTTGAGACGCCGCTTGAAACTCAGCAATTCGAAACTTTACAGAGGATGCGCGCGTCGAAAGTTTTGTGTCTAACGCTGACAAAGGATGAGCGAGTCTTTGGGCGGAAGTTTGAAGCTTTCGATTGCAGAATTGAATACTTATATAGGATACTATACAAGAGTAATTTACATAGAATACTTGTTTGATAAATGCAAGGCGCTGACAACGCGGCCTCTAAATCTGTACAAATCCGAAATACCTTTGAGGGTCGAGCTAGAGGTGGTTAAACCCGGCACTTACTGCAGACCGTCACTCAAAGTATAAGGGAACGGTTTGAAGCTAGGGAAGCTAAGAAACGTTTGTCGATTTGTGATGCTTGGTGTGCTAATAAACCCCTACTGGGCATAAAGTCTTTAGCTGCACTCTGCTCGTGCGGCGGCCCCTTGTATCCGCTGCACGTCCCAAGCCGCTCGACCACTTTTAATCAGGCAAAATACACGATGCCACCGGTCACACCGAGCTTGGAGCCTTGGTTGACGTACGGAACACTTCCATAAGTTCATAAGTTCGCGACTCCATGAGCAGATTGCACGGCAGGATCCGAAGAAAGAATCGTTCCCAGGATTGAACTCCACTCTCCTAACGTGCACGCACCATGCCAGCACATCCAATGAAGGTTTCCCACATCCATTAGTAGCTGGAGTGCTCGCACTGTGCCCGCTGAGATGCGCCGCGCCGTGTTGCAGTGCCGTCAACCATGCACGCGCGCCAGGCCCACGAAAAGTCGAGGCTTGCCGCGACGCAAGCCGGATCTGAAACATCAGGGTTTGTAATTGTAGTCACTTGCATTCACATCTCGATCCTAGTTAGCTGCGAGAAAGCAAGAATGATTGCGCATTTGGATCGTAAGCGTCGTTTCCGCGGCCTTCCCTAATTTTGAAGCATGTGCGAACAGTTGATGCAAACCCAGTACGTAACCCGCAGTGAGGCCTGAGAATCGGTGCATCTTTAAGAGGTTGCTCGGCTGGAGACCACGCTAAAGAACCTTTCAGCGAAAGCGTTACACCCATGATGCATCGGACTGTAGGGGAGAGGTCTGAGCAATGCGCTCAAAATGTGGCTTTGCTGAACAGAAACGTCAAATTGATGCATGATGGCTGAACATAACGGCAAACCATGCCCAACGATGTTGTTCCGAAAGGCTTCCGTAGCACGGAAATAGCAAGGGCTACTCGTCAGCAACGTCAGTAAAACACTCAATTTGTTGTGTTGCTTCAATCTACTCTTTGCTGAAACAAACTACTACTCTTCTGATAGGCAATCCTTCCACCCAATCTGTATACGCTTGTCTGGCGCCTGCCAGAGCCTTTAGCATTTCTGGCATTCAGGGTCCAAGCAAGGGTCAGGGCCCGTCGCGACGAGGCTGAAGACGAGTTGGATGGAGCCGCCCGCCGTGTCGTTGCGCACCAGCTCGCTGCCGCCCAGCCCCACCGCAGTCACGACCTGGCTGCGCCCAACAAGACAGGCGCCACGTGTCAGGGTTTGGAGGCGGAGTGTCACGGGGAGGGTCCTTGTTTGACGAATTGCAATCAAGTGCTTTTTAGAAGCCGTTTCCAGGGCTGCTTCGAAGGAAGCATTTTCTTTGGGTGTTGTACGTGTGGCCTCATCAGTTCCAATCATTGCGTTTCGTAATAGGGGATAGCAAAGTCTGGCACGGATGTTGGCGGCTTTGCTGCCACGCTGCTGAAGATAGCCCGTCACGGTGGCTTACTTGAGGGGGACTTGAACGGTGCTCGTTGCTGTCATCTCCAGCAGCCCTGGAGGCTGCACAGAAAGCGTGACGGAGGGGTTTAGAGATCGTGAGAACTCTTCAAAAGTGACGCCGTGTCAAACCTTTCCGAAGCCGCCTATCTCATCTAAGAGCACCATTATGAAAGACCACACCTACCGAGGTAACGTTCTAAAAGGACCCGCTAAAGGAGGTTCTCGAACGACTATCGCCGGTCTGACAGGGAAGGTTGTTCAGAAAGCAGCAATTTGAGAGCCGTGAAGCGCAGAAAACGGCCCCCGCATATATATCGGACGGTTGGGCAGTTGCACGGAAAGCAGGCAGGCCGGCGTTACCCGGCGGCGCTCACCAGCGGTCGGAAGGTGCCGGTGATCTGCACGGCCGGCAGGGTGCCCCCGCTCTGGAACACGATGTTGATGCCGGACTCGTCGAAGGGCTTGCCGGTCAGCGACCCGTTGGCGCGCGCCACGTGGACCACGGTCCCGCTGTTGGGGGCCACCGTGTACGTGCCGTCCGTCTGGTTGATCGGGAACGTCGGCGCTGCGCAGAAGGGGCGGAAAATCTGGTTCTGAGACGGCCCCGTTTGTTACGAAGTTACTGACGCAAAGTTAGCTTTTCTTGCATATAGTTTTCAGCCTCAGACAAAGCAAGTCCCCACGAACTTCAAGGCTCTGCAATCGTCAGCGTAGCAATCGCACTCGCCCAGCCAGCGATAAAGTTTGAGGTCGCCGCATGTATTTACAGTTGGATGATGCGAAGTTGAGTCTGCGTGGTTGCTGCGCTCACTGGAGACGTTGAGGCTGGCCCCGCTGATGGTGAGCGACCCGATGTTGGTGCCGCGCGCCGTTGCACTGGCGGTGACTGTCGGGGGGGCGGTCATCAGACTGGTGCTGCCAATGGCGGCCTGCAACCAAGAGGGGGACGCAGCGGTCAGCAGCGGCACACGTGTCCCCGCATTGTTTGCGGAAAGCGGATCAGCGGAAAGCGGAGATACGTGCAGTGTAGCGGATACAGAATCATCGCAAGCTGCCAGGCGCGGCAGAGTAAACGCCCGTTCGCTTGCAAGAAAGGGCACTCGTGACACGGGCTCCTATGCGGTCGGCTCCTGCTTCCTGATCAGCAAAAAAGCAGAGAGGAGCAGCTTGGATGGGGGGCTTCTGAGAGCTCACGTTGGTTGGGAGTCCTGGCACGAGCCCGCAGGCCAACACGTCCACGGTCAAAACGCCTGCAGTCAAAGATGGTTGTTGCCTCCGCCGATCACTCAGAAAATCTTGAGGGTGAAGGCAATTTGACCACCAATTAGAACTATTTCCACTGCCAATGGATTCTGACACTTGAAAGGTAAAAATCGGGGATCGATCCAAGAAAGGTCACTACCTGCATTTACCTGCGTTGCAATCGGACGTGAATAATCATTTGTCAAACATTGAGGCAGCGCTATTGTCTTCGCAAGACCCAGCAGAAAGTTCACTCACCCGTGACCTGCACAACCGGGGGATCAAAGGTGATGTCCAGAGCGTTCGCTCCCGCCAGGCGCGGGGTCGCCGTCGAGTTGGGGCCCGCCACCGTCAACGTCGTGGACTGCCCCGCCACGGGGGAGAAATCCCACAGAGCGAACACCAGGGAAAGTAACAGCAGAGAAGAGGAGGTAGCTCTCGCCATGGCTGAGAGGTGCACTAGCGACGCAATGAGAGCACGATAAGCGACTTAGTTGGAAAGCTGGTGCTGGATGCGCTCCTTGTAATTGGGACCCACTGACAGCGCGCAGGACAATGTTGTCTAAGGCGGAGGGCGCGCCGGCATATGTAGGACCTGGCTACGTGAGGTTTTTTGGAAGAACAGAAAGAAGGTGTGACATCTGATGCCAGCTTGGCAGGCCGGGGGCCGCCGGCTCAGAAGACGTTATATCAAGTGTTAGCAGTTCATCCTGGATGAACGCCATCATATTATCGATAAGACGATTGTCTCGCTTGGGCAGCTTGGCAGAAAAGCGCACTCTTGCTGGCAAAATCGGTAACATGCATCTGCCAACTCTTTTGGGCGCGTTGCGCTTTCGTACAGTATCTGGTCACTCCCAGATTCGACCCGCTGCGCGTGCTTTCGAACGTCAATGCACGTCAATATGCGGGTGCGCATTCCCCTATTGCCAGCTATGTTGCATCGCCGCTAAGGCCAGCTTGGCAAGGACACGTGTCATAGGGTGCGTTCATGCATTTTGATGCACGGGCAATGTCCCAGGGTCAAAGCTGGGCAGCAATCGAGACAACTGCAAAGCACCGGCGCGCTTCTTCTCTTATTTGCTCTCGATCAAACCCGGAAGAACAAGCATTGCAGATATCTCCTTTGCAAAGATTGAGAGGGGCCCTGTGATTCACTTTGCGTCCCGCCATGGCTGCCTTTCTGCGCGTGCTGGTGCTGTTGCTGGTGTGCGGTGCGTGCTGGAGCGGTGCGGCGGCGCAGGGCCCCGCCAACCTGACCCTGGTGCAGGCCAACTCGACGGCGACCGTGGAGCAGCAGGGGGCCGCCACGCTCAGCCTCAAGTTCACGCCGTCCACTGTGCAGCTGGCAGGTGGGATGGGAGCAGAAGCTCGAAGACAAGTCTAGAAGATTGCTTGCTTAACGGATGTTTGCTTTCCCTCATCCAATTTCAGGTTCATGAATGGTTAGCTCATGCTCGGACGGATTTTTACTTCCAAAGCTGTCTTTTTGCTTGTTGTAAGTGGTGGGTTTGCCGGAGAAGACAGAGGAGCTTCTGGCCTGGGCGGGGACCCAGTCAATCAATGTTCAGTTCAGGCTTGAACGGCTTTTGTGCGGCGTTGCAGGGATTGTCGAGATCAACGCGACTAGCTGCAGCGGAGCGGGACTGCCCGCAGATGTGAGCCCAGCTTACTTTCAGTCAAAAGCTTATAGACCCTGACAATGCAAGCTCAAAATATCATCCGAACTTTGTAGAAATTCAGGCTCCCTTGTTAAGAAAGGATAACAGCTTGTCGTAAGCCCGCATCAGTACACTATATTTCACGTGGCTTACCGATTTTGCAGCCTGCCAACTCTGAGATCAAAGTACAAATGTTCCTTTTAAAGTTGATTGTCGAAAGGAAGCGGGACGATATTCTGAAGTATGCAATGCACCAAGATGTTGTTCTGGCGCTGCCTTCCCTCCTCGTTGCTCTTCTCTGCCGCACTGCGCCGCTGTGCAGGTGGTGCTGCTGGGCACCAACATCAGCACTTTGCCCCCCAACATCAACATCAGCGCGAGCTCGCTGGGGTCCAACATTGGCAGCTTCTCCCTCACCAACCTCACGCTCAATATCTCCGGTGAGAGTTCTATCTTCGAAGCAGCTTCTCTGCAGAGCAGGACTAAAGGTGACATGAATCTATGGCGCCCATTGGAGTACCTGGCTTGAATTGACTTGTTTGTCGTAAATGGAGCTTGCAATTGCCCCTAAATCGATGGCTTGATCCTCAAAGTTTGGATGTGCTATCGCCCCTGTTCTTGTGCCCGGAATGACTTCGTCAACAGCTCTGTATCTCGTACAACAGCCAGAACGCTTGCCACATGTTTCCAATCACTTCTGAGCTTGAACTTGGTTTCTCGCTTTGTTTGCAGCTCTGAGCTTCCCGGTGAACCCATCCAACGGCAGCTTCCAGGTGGTGGTCAACACGGGGACGGCCCACGTGGACGCTCTCAACGGCACGCTGACCGGCAACCAGATCAACCAGATGGACGTCAGCCTGCAGTTTCAGAACCAGTCCGCCGTCGTCAACGGCTCCTTCGTCAAGACGGTGAGGGGTTTACGAAAGGTCTGTTACAGAGTGCAGTGGGCACTCCGTTCTGATCACCTTGCTGTGGTGTTGTAAGATGTAGTAGAGGGCCCAAGTTCTGTAAACGATTTGCGGGCAAGCTTTCCACCTCTCCTCGGAACCACAAATTGTGGGCCTTATGAAATAAAGAAGGAAGCAGGACAGGGTCAGACGGGTGAAGTGATTGAAGCCGGGGTCGCAAATCAATTTGGGAACATCCTGAATCCAACATTTGCGTCCTCTCAACCTCTTTTCGTGAGTCGCCTGAAGCCATCGCTTCGGCTATCTCGTTTTTCCTTTTCCTCTTTTGGCTTTTCGTATCTGCTACTGGCTGGTTTGACTGACGCTGCTGTGATCGACTGCAGGCTGGTGGACTGGACATGAGGGCGTCGTCAGTCGTAACCATCCCTCTGAGGTGACCTCTCTGTGCCTGTCTGCCAAGACCTCAGAACTCGTCAAAGCACTGCTTGATGTTCGAGCCAGTTAGGGCAAACTGAAAACGCTGTGCTGGCCTGCTTCGGCGGATTAGTTGGCACTGTTTAACAGTCTCCTCGTCATCGCCTGCGGCTAATAATGAAGTACTGGGCCTGTCAAGTAAAAGATGCCAATATGCGGCCTTGAAAGACTCCGTTCAAATGGTGTTGTTCCGCTCTTTCTTTACGTTCCGTCCATCTTGCGCTGCCGTTGCAGTGAGATCGTGGATGCGGCAGGCTTCGGCGGCAACGCTCTGGTGACGACCGCCACAGCCGGGGGGTCCATCCAGATTCCCATCAATCTTCTAGCCAGTGGCAACAACACGTGCGCCAACCCAACGCCGAGCTGAGTGACACCAATGCAACGTCTAGAAGAGGGGAAAGCTAGGATGCTTTCAGTGACAGGCGCACTCCGAGAATAGACAAAGAACACTTTCCTGTTCAATCTGACAAGTGACGATGAAAGGATTCACAAGTGGACGGCATACGCAGGCCGGCACGTCGCAAGGCCCGGGACAACCGGTTTGTCCATGATTACATCTTATGAACCGTGTTAGTCGAGGATGGACTAGGCGCGGCCGGGCTTAACCCAGTCCTTGTTCCAGAGGGTGTGTTGGAAAGCTACTTGATCATGCATCCCGCCTAGAAAGCCACCGTGGACATTGTTTGCATGGTCGTCATCACGAAGAACACTTGTACCCTATTGCGTATCGCGTGCGGATGTCTGCATTATGATTGTAAGACCTACTTTTGCTGTCCTTTTTGTACTCGCCGAAGTTGGTCTTTCGTTTTGATTGATGTTAGCTTTGAGAGCTTTGAGCATTTCGTGCATTCTGGTCAGCACTTTTCAGGCAGTCGACGTTGAAATGATTGGACGTCTTTAAGTGCAAGGCGCGGTGCCTGGAAGATTGTGACTAGCCGTACACATGGGCCTCGATATACATAGGACAGGACGTCCTATCGCAACTGGCGTTCTGCAGCAATTCAGTATATCCACATCGGCGAGGACCCAATCTACAGAGGTAGGGTTGATTGCAAGGGCCGGGGTTGAAATTGTGGGCGCCGAAGGTTACGGCCCATTGCATCCTGTTGAGCGGGATTCTGAGCTGCTTGCGTTGATGTTTTAATGGGCTGTTGACCAATTTGCCCAGTAGCCCAGGTGGGCCGTTCCACTTCGGTTGGTCTCTGTTCCTCCAGCAGTGAGTACCTCAGGCTTGAGGTACATTCCTAAGAAAGTTCAAGAACCGACGCTATGAGCTTTGCGTAGAACCTTTGACCTTTCACGCTCGGCCAGCTGCGCGTTATTCATATGCTATTTGGCCAGCATGATATCTAGCGACACACTTATTTGTCTATGGGGTTTTCTGCACTTCCGCTCCTCGAGGCTCGTGTCGAGTCTGCTTTTTGATGATCAACGGGCATCGGCCAGTCCTGCAAACAAGAGCCGCCTGTTTGACATCTTCTTATATTGTGCCGCAATTGTGCAACAAGGTGCTGTACAGCGTTCAGCAATATTTCAACCATTATCGAGACACGGGCAGGAGAGCAAGCCGGCTTGGAAGGCCTGGTACTTACAGGTTCCTATGGCACAGGGCAATCAAGCTCACTCTACGATCCGCCACCGGCATCTGATCAAGTTCTATGGACCCATATATAAAGGGTTCGATCTCGATGAAGGGTGGTGGTGAGAAGCGGGGACGTGAATAGTAGATCGAAAAAGAGCAGCCGTGACGTGCCAATCATAGGAGTTGCAGCCGCACTCCGTGTCGTTCTTCCAGGCATTCTTTGCGACCGAGAGCGGCTCATCGTAGACTGCTTCCAGCGTCGCTGCTCCCAGATTCACACCAGCCTGCAAATCGTGTCGACTTGCCCAAGTCACGCCTGGTTCCAAGCTGCCAGGTACTCTTCCCGAGTTACATCCTTCAAGACTGCAGCTATCAAGATATCGGCTAGTAGCTCAAGCTCGGCCAGGCCAGTGCTGAAAGCCGTATTGAAAGGCTAGCCTATTAGTGGTCATCTGCTCCGTAGGGCCTCAAAGGTTCACCCGAAGTCACTATACTTCAAAGCTGTGCCTCTCGAATACCTGGTAGGGCTTCTTAATCCCTACGTACGAAGACCTCCGCTTCTCAGGACTCTTCACCAAGCTTATTCTGCAAATCTTGGCGGATCCCGGCCTACCAGGCCCGTAGCTTATAGGAGACCGCGTCTGAGATGCACTCTTCCCCTTCATTAAACGGCTGGCAACTTTTGGCATTTGATCGGAGCAATTGTCTTGGATTCCAAGTGGGCCTTTGAAAGAGCTAGCTAAATATAGGTCGGACTGGTCGGGCTCAGTATGATAGCCTGTCCATGCGTAGTCAGGACTTTCGCTTCCCAGGTGGTTTTCTAGCCCAGCAGCGGATTGCGCTGGGGGTGAAAACCCGGCGCCAACGGTCGAGCTGCGGAAAGCTGATCCTGATGTGCCGTTGCGCTCCAATGGACGAAATTGAGCTCATCTGAGCTGTTTTAGGCTCGTGATCATGCTTACAATCCGAAAACGAAAACGCAGCCACTCCAAGAGCTGCTTGCAGACTTGCTGAGTGGAGGCAAAACCGTCGTCCGAGATAATGTAGACACTCGGTTAGGGCCGACCGATCTGCTTCCGTTGCAAATATGTGGTTCTGGTTCAACTAGTGGGTCCGCGACCAAGCAGGACGGTCTGGTTGGGTTTCATTGATCAATGCTGGCAAGGATTAATTCACCGCATTCGGCTTCGCACTCAACACTTCTCGTCGGAGGGTCACTGCACATCGTCGTCCCTGATCTTTGTTCCTCATGCTACTTGCTGGCCGGCTGCGGCGGCCAGCTGTGAATGATTACTAATCATTCAGTTAAGTTATATATATAAGTTATGATTATAGTGCATCCTGTAATGACCTCTCAAACCTCAATTATTGAGGTCTGTACTATCCAACAGATTATCATCCAGTTTCTTGGCTTCAGTGCGGTTGCCAAGAGCGCCAGCGGTGCTTTCGTGCAGCATCAGTAGGGAAACGTGAGGGAGAACGAGTGTCAAATCATTAGCGATTGAAGCTTTGTCGTGATGCGACTCCGCTGTATTGGTAATCGTCCTGTTTAAGTGTCAATTGCGTTACAAGACATGAGTTTCTCAGGGCGGGTGACACAATTACAGTCCTCTATATGACCTGCAGCCCCTTGTAATCAACGGCACTGCCCATGCTTGCAATATGCTTGTCATGCACATGATGCATAAAGGCATTGACGATGTTCACAACAATTGTGCTAAAAGAGAAAAGCTGTGCAATCCTTTCACACCTACAAACTCTACAAACGGATCACTTGGGTGCCTGACAAACTCTCTAGCAAAGATGTCACACTCTGCGGATCCAAGTACCCTCCTCCTACTGCTTCCTGCCCAAGGGCGACTTTCTGAACCTTCTTAAACTGCTTCACGTAGTACTCAAGGTTGATCGCTTGCCAATCAACAAGGGTGAGGGAGCAAAGCTCGGGGGCCTCCGCTGGGGTCGTTTGAAAACGGAAAAAAGGACTCGCCTTGAGCGCAAAGACTTGCAGCCTAGGGGCAATGATCGTCACTAGAGTATCCCCTTTTGCATGAGACACAACCAGCTTCGTCAGGTTGGGGCTCCGTAGCTCTTGAAACTGAATATCCACCCCTGCCAGCTCAAGTTCCTGCAAGGCCGGCATCAAGGGGAGAATCCTACCACATGTTAAGGTGAGTCCCCCCAACCTGAGTACTTTAAGCTGCTCCATACCTTGCAAACCCATGTTGATTGGGCATGGGTTTGTGACATTGGTGAGACGACGTACCGGGCCGTTTGCCTCTGACTGTTGCAATGATTGAACCTGCTCATAGCTCACAACGGTCAGGACCTCGAGCTGGGTGCAGGAGCTGAGAAGTCCAAATAGATCTGTCCAACCATCTGGTGACAGAGTGTTCCCTCGGACCTCAAGCAGAAAACTGCAGAGCGAAATCTGGGCCTCTTTGAGCACCTTCACCAAACAAGCGAGCCCATCTCTGCAGTTTAGCAGGTAAAGGAACACGTCTGTAAGCCCTGTCGAATTGCAGTCCCGCATGAAAGTGCTCGTATCCTTGACCTTGGGAGAGTAACGGTCGTGGCAACGATTTCACACATGCACCTTGAGGTGCAAATCTGCCTGAAAAGCCTGTTCACCACCTTCAAACCTGCCACTTCCTTCATGAACTTATGTAGCGCTGGTACACTCGCAAATGCATGCTGATGTTGGCATGCTTTCCTTATTATTTTCTCGGTGAGCCCGACATCAAGCTCCTCAAAGAAGCATCTCCCGCCCGCCATTGCGGCCCCACTGGCACTCACCACCGCACCTTTGGCCCAACAGCTACCCACCAGAGCCGGCCTGAGAAAAGAGAGAGGCGCCTAGAAGAAAGGAGTTGCGTATACAATACCTAGATTGGAACAGACAAGCTGGGATGCGGATCCTTGACTCTCATTGGTTGCATTCAAGCAATCTGGATTCTGCACCCATTCTGTAACCGTCAAAATCATTTCTTCAGCCTCTGCACGGCTCTGTTTGAGTCCAGTTCACAGTTTCAGTTCAGTGTGCACGTCTTTCTGAAGAGCACTGCGAGTGCACGGAAGCAGTCACAAGCAGCACTGGCTTTGAGGATCTTCAATCGACGGTCGTCCAGTGCCCACCTGTCTCTGAATGGGCCCTAGTATGTTTGATCGTAGGGACGTCAGGTAGGGTCTCCGGCGGCCTGGATATGCGAGGATGATCCCCCTCATCAGAAATTTGACCCCCCGAAGAAAAGGCGCCGAAGAGGTGCCGACATGGTTCAGCGGCGAGTCGGCGCCTCATCCGCGCTTGATTTCAGGCGCCCCGGAGGCGCCTCCAGGTCGGTGCGACACGTGGGCGCCTCGGGGGCGCCTCAAATGCGCAGCGCAGAAAAGGTGCCGACATGCTGCATGACGAATCGGCGCCGTTGTGGCGCCGAACCGTCACGCAATCTAAGGGCGCCGTTGTGACACTGTTGTGGCACCTGAAGGCCTCCAGCTTTTGGCACCTTTTCGGCACCTGTTCGCTTATCTTATATGCACAAGCACTGGCTTCCGCCAACTGCAGCAGGCCGAGCATAAACTCGTTGCAGCATACTGATCATCGAAGGACTGTGCGTGCCACAGAACAATGTCTCGAGCTTGACATCCGCTGAGATTGCGCATAAAACCAACCACTCCAAAAGAACTTGAACTTGGTCGAGAGATCTCGTCCTCAACATTTGGCATCAAGAGATGCCGTGGAGTGCTAGTCATTTGCCACGGATCTTGAATCGAAACATCATGATTCCGCAAACCTTACCGGTCCCAATGTGACGCTTTGCCGTTGAGTCCAGGCGGTTTCCATGAAACGAAATTTGTCAACTCCTAGTTTGACTAGTGCGTCTCACCTGGCGGTTCTCAAAGTCGATGTCCTAGCTGTCCATTTCCCGCCCGCTCCCTTGTTGAAATTCTCCAGGATCCGTTCTTATCGGGTACCACAGTTTGGATAAAATGCGTTCTAAAAAGGTTTTTTGCGCCCACATATGATCCAAGCTGTACATTCAGATTGAGAGCTAAAAAGGAACGGACTTAAAAGATCAGATCTTCCACCGGAGTCTCCTTCGGGGATTAATTCATGGCTAGCGTTACGTTATCAAACTGCACTCTCGTGAAGGAGGCTCCAATCAGCTCTTTTACAAGGAAGACTTGTTGTCCTCCGCTGAGCACGGGTCGTCCTCAAAGTGAAAGGAACAATTTTCGAAATTAGAGACCCTGAAAAAAACGTCGTCCTTTCGATAATAAGGAGAGGACCGAAACCACCCATGTACCTCTTTTAACCGCTTGACCAGTTGACGCTCCTCACAAGCTGAAAGCCAGATGTTTTCAGAGATTCAAAAAAGCTACCCCATGTCCCCTCACCATGTTCCTGTAGCTCTCCAGGATCGCACGCGTGCCCATCATGACCATGGCCTTCGCGCGCGTCAGCTGCACGTTGCTTCCCACCAGCCTCCCATACACGCCTGCCGGGTGCCATTTGCGTACTCGTCCTGGCTCGGAACACCGTGCATTCCTGCCGGGGATCTTTTCCTCTAGTGTGAACTTAACCAGCGTCACGCTCTTGAGCTTCTCGTAAGCGGCTGGGTTGAGGGACTTGTTGACGTTGGAAGTTGGCCCGAGGCCAAGAGAGGCTGGTGCCGAGGGAGTTTGCAGGGGCCCGGGGGCTTTTGGAAGGATCAATTCACGAGCTGGATTAAGTGCTCGACCTGCGGGGAGAGGGGTTGGAATAAGTTGATTGACTCCTTGAGCTCTGGATATCTTTGAATCAGTCCTTCTGTAAACATCTGGAGTTTCGATGAACAAAAGTCGATTTTCGGGTCTAGCTAATCAGGGTAGCGGTTTGCTGCTCAGAGTTGAAGGTTGAGGGCCTGAATCTTGACTGCTCCCTTTGTTTGGGCCCTGTGGACCGCTCTTCCTGATTCCAGCATGTTACAAGTCTGAAGTTGAAAGAGCAAAGGACTAGGTGGTTCGTTTCTGGTTAGGCGGTCAGCAGTACCGTCCCGTCACCTTTGCCCCGCTTTTTTCTGCTTCCCATCCTTATGTCTACTGTCGATCCTTGGAGACAAACGAACAAACCTGCCCCTCAAAAGAGTCTCCAAAAATCCCCCCAATACAATGCCACTTTGAGGCGCCTATGTTTCAGCTACTGATAGCACTTGGCTGCTCACGACTTCACTTTCAAGTTACGAGACCCCCCTGTCATCTTAGCCTTCCGGCACTTATCCTTGAGGCTAGCGCCCAGCATCGCTCCTCCAGTACCCAGATCAGCAGAATACAGAATAAACTCTGAGTTTCGAGAGTTACAAATAGAGTTTCTGGAAGTTGTAAGAGGCGCTGCAAAAGAGATACCATAAAGATTGCTATGAGAACTATGGGTTTGAGTGATTGAATGCACCCTAGGTGGTTTGAAGGACATCGCACCTCGATGTTGGTGCTTTGAAGGCTCCCCATCTGCAGGCCTCCATGCGGTTGTCCTGAGCTGGTCAGATGAAACTTTGTTGGAGAGCAATCTGCACGTACAAGGGCAGCCGAAATGCCATCAGACGGGCCAACATGGACTTTGCTTTACTAAAAGATTTTGACACTGTTGAGCTTCACATTTACAAACAGACTACTGCAGGATGTAAGGCGTCAAAGCAATGTACATGGCTGCTGGTGAGCTACATGACAGCGATGACTTTGTGGAGGATCAATATTCTGTTCAATGCAAGCCCTGATTGGACCCTCAGAAGCCATAATAATGTTCGTCGGTGCCTTACAGGTTTAAGCAGATTCGAAGACAGCGTTTGCAGGACCCAGCTCAGTCGCGGATCAATGGCTTGCTCTCAGAGGAAGAATGTACGACGTGTGTACTACCAGCTTGGGCAATGGATCACAAAAGCAAAGCTGGTATCAACAAATAGAACGGGTGGTTTGGGAATCTACTCAGCTAATGCATCGCGATTTAAATCAAGATTTCTTGACTGAGCACATTCTGACCCCATTCTGACTTTACTCAGAGCGTGGCAATGTTATGCATACAACACATCAGCAAAGCACTCTGCGCGGACTGAAAGTGATCATATTCCTCACCTGCTGAATGTTGGCGGCTGCAGAAACTCCACCTGATTCCACCAGGCGCCGGCACACTCTAACTTTTCTTAGCGAGCACCTCAGGCTTGCTCGCGCAATGCAATTTCTGATTGCAGATATCAGCTAGTTGGGGGCATTTACTTGATGAGACGCAGCGGCTCTTGCTCAGTTGCTGTAGGTATTAAAACTGCACGAGTCCCAATGGCAACAGGCTCACCTGTCACATATCGTCGAGCAAGCTGCTGAGGAAATTTGCAGAGCGGAAGCTGAGCACGACCGATTTCCACTTGCTGCTATCAACTTATGCAAATTGGACATTCACAGACGTTGCAACTATTGCGTTACGATCTGCAGAGACGCGTTCGTTGGCGCATCGCTACCCAATGTTTCCTATTTAGGTGTGTAACGCACTGAAGTTAGTGTTTGTACAAGAGTCTCTAATGTTAGGTTCAGGATTTCAGCTCCTTCTCGAGTCCTTGCACCGACTCTCAGCAAGTTGCAGCTAATTAGTTACATGTGGATTAGGGTTGAACTTTTGTGCAGAAGCTTTGCCATCCGCATTGGCGGACAAGCCGGCCAGAGAGTGATTTTTATTCAGGTGCTCAGCTCCTAGCAGTATGGTGGCAGCCGTTCACTTGCACAATGAGAGTGAAGAGAGGCAGTAGATCAGCTGGCAGAGATCCACTGCGTTGACAGGAGCTCGGAGAGTTGCGCAGATCTTGCTGATATGCGAAAAAGGTAGCCAGGAATGCTGGATTACTGTACCAACATGGCTTCTTGAGGTCCCAGAAGAAGAGGATGCAGCAGAGTGTACTTCACAATTCGTTGTTTGCCCCTACAATCCTACTTGTGAGAACAACCAAGGCCCACTCATTCTTGCATGGTTTTAGCATCTGCAACAGCTGACCATGGGATGCAGGTGAGCCTCAGGGTTTGGATGAGAATTTCATCAGTAAAAGGTGGCTCAGGTAGAGTGCAACAATCTCCAATTGTGTTTTCCGCGGCTGCCAGTCTGAAGGCCTTGAAGTTCAAGTCAGATTATTCCGATTAACGGAGGTGCATGTTGTCTGCAAGAATCACTTCTTTTACGTCTCTGCAAAGGTTGCTTATGCAGAATTTTCGAAATGGAATCAGCTTCAAAGGTTGGAGCAGCTAGAATGAAGCATAACTCGGAGCTTGTTGAGTGACTTGGAAAAGGAGGACTCAATCAGCCATCTGCATCAGCTTGCCAATGTTCACAACAGTGTTCTGCGAGAGTCAAAGCTCAAGCACCACTGCCTCTCATAAAAGTTGTTGACGGTGTTAGAATATGGATCTTCAGGCAGCTACTTGTTCACCTTCTTGCATTACCTCAAAGGTCGATCCTCAGGACTACATAAGTGCGCGCTCTCCAGTCTCTGACGTAATAATCGCCATGGAAGTGTTGCAAAGGATCCTATCAGTAACATGATACCTGTAACAAAATACCGACTCAGACTGCCACACCCAAAGATTCCAGCAGATCAACAGCGGCCAAGGACGATTGCGCAAGCCAGGCATCATACAACAAATGAGAAGGCAGTGAGCTATATCAAGAAGGCCACAGCTCAGGGGTCTGGTCCGTGAAGTCACTCAGGGTTAGTTTGTAAGGTAAGCATATCTGGTTGGAGTTTTGTGATAGCTTTTCGTGAATGAGTCCTCACCCCCTAAATGTAACCTAGACAACAGGTCGGCCATGAGAACAACTTCTCAGCTTCTAAACTGATCGTGGTATCATCACAATGTTTGCTACGTTTTCTGAACTTCATTGCTTTCCAATGAAACCCATTGAAGTTCGTCAAGATCGTCAAGCTTGGGCATTAACCAGCCTGAGGGTATGTCCGGTGAGCAACTCGACGGTTCCCATTTCGTACGTTCTGCTGGCTCCGTTTTTTAGCCTCTAGTGTAGTTCAGAAGCGTAGAAGTTCGCCCGTGTCACCAATTCAGACAGAAGACTCACCGAAATATGGTACCTCTGGGAATCTACATGACATTAAAGTAGGTTATGCATCGATTTTGCATCCAAAAGGAAGCGGACAAGCAGTTCTTGCATCCAACTTGGGCCGTTGGAAGGACGTTGGAAGGCTTCCTGGATGCTTTGTACCGTTTCTTGAGGTCAATCAAATCAAGCGGGTTCAACAGACTAATGTCTGATGCTGCAGGCAAGATATTGAAGGAAAAGCTTGTCGAAGACGCACGATTATATGCTCCCGCAGAATCCGGCCACTGGCACTATACGATGTCACAAAAGGTGAGATGCAGTAACTCTTCTTTCTTCCTTCGGATTCGAGCTTTGTTGTGAAGAGCATGTCAAGCCGTGTTAGTAGCCTAAACTGAGTCTCTGAGACCTGAGAATCAGCGTTCTCAATGGCCGGCATATGTCCATGCCTCCGGTTTTGAAGGGGTTTGCCACAAAGTGGGGTTTCGTGCACAATCTGTTGGGTCTTCTGAGCTTCTTCGCTGGTATGGAAAAACTTCCGGGAATAATGTTGGCTGCATCGACAAGGAAGGTTTGTGTTCTGATCATTGAAGTGAACGCGAATTGAAGCCTCGAAGACCGGGTTCATTCTTTCACTAAGACCTCACATCAGAGTTCCGGAGTGCTGGTCTGCCGTGCTTCAAAACAATCCTGAGCCCATCCTGAGCGAGTCCTTTACTCTCTTCAACAGGTTTTCGAAACGCACTTGCCTAGCTAGCTACCGACCGCCGCCTGGTCACAGCGAGCGTCAATCGAATTGAGCTCTTGATTGCAACGTGTTGAGATGTGTGCAGTAAGTTACCTCACAGCCTGTGTCATTTGGTGCAAGAATATCTTCAGGCTTGCCAACACGTCTCTCAGATCAGCACTTAGACTTGATCGTGAACAGACTTTTGGTCAGTATACAGCTACGAAAGGTCTTCTAGCCTTCTGGAGTGACTGTCTATATGGACAACGCAGCAAAACGGAGACGCTTTCCCACTTAACCAGTTGGCTGACAAAGAATAAGACACGAACGAGTCGCTTCGACGTTGGATCGTGATTGAATGCTTCGTCCTCAGAGCAACACGTGGCATAACCAATGGGAGCCCATTGTGATTTACACGCAACGAAATGGCGCTCCTCCGACACCATTTCGGCACCGTTGTGGCGTCTAGTTATCGCGCACTGTCTCGGCGCCAGTCTGGTGCCATCTCGTCATATGCCCGAGGGGCGCCGACCTGGTGCCGAAAGGGCGCGCCGCCGGGGCGCCGTTTCGTCGCCGCACAGGCGCGCGGCGCGGTGGCGCCTGGACGGTAACGAACCCTTGAACCCTTCGGCGCCGTTTCGTCGGGCACCGAAGCGGCGCCTGTGGGGCGCCGTTTCTTCGGGACCCCAAGTTCCTGATGCCTTAACTGGATTTCGAGAGGCTCCCGGCTCCGAGTTCCGACGCACGTCCGACCGTAATTTCAGGATGTCGCGCACATCGGGTCCACCCGGTCGAGATGCCCGGTTGATGACGCCCGATCTCAAGAGTGCGAAACTGCAAGCCGTGTCTGGATGACGTCAACTTGATGGCTCTGGACAAAGCCACTTTGCGCATTGCAGTTCTCTAGCCTCTAGGATAGCTGGCGCCTAGTAATGGAAGCTCTGTGCGAATGGTGGTAGTAACTTCGCCGCAGTGCGAGCTATGGCTCTTCATCTGGTCTTACCAGCACTATGGCAATCTGATTCCAGCTATTTCATAATCTTCGCGCAACGAACACCCTTCTATCTAGAGCAGGTGCATCCTGCTTGTGCCGCCCAGTGGGGGCAGCATGAAGGTCTTCATCACTGGAGCGTCTGGTTTTGTTGGCACGCAGCTGATCGCCTATCTCAGCAAGTGTCACGGCGACTCTGTGGTTGCTCTGTCTCGGAGCGCCGTGGCCGATGAGAAGATCAAGCGGGCGTCTCAGCTGGTGCCCACCAAGGGCTGGCGGGAAGATGGTTCCCGCCCGGAGCCCGGCAAGGTGGAGATTGTGCGGGGCGATCTCAGCACAAAAGAAGCTCTAATGAAAGGTAAGTGGGGCCCCTGCGTTTCATGCAGCAGCTAGTCAGACAGCAGCAATTCGAAAGTTACTTTTGAACTGCTTTCGGACGGCAAGCCGCTGATGCTTACTTGTTCAAGCCTGCGGCACGCAAGAGCTCGCAGCTGGTGATGAATTCAAAGCTGTTGTAGGATCCCATTCAAGAGCGCAGTCCCCCAGCTGAGGTGAAACATGGGAAGCTTAGCGAAGTATCTGGAGCTGGGCAAGGCAACAACCAGCTGTGACTTACCTCTTCCACATCTGGATTTTAGCTACCCCCTACCCGCAAGGCCAAGGCCTTCAACACAATGTGTGCCCGCATCTTCAGTACCCCACCCAGCAACCTAGTATATTCCAGATACAACTCACGTGCACATTGTATGTGCAGGCATGAAGGGGTGCGACGCTGTGATCCATGCTGCAGCTAAGGTTGAAATGTGGGGGGACTATGCCTCCTTCCGTGAGACAGCCGATGCCACACGCACTGTTGTGGAAGCAGCCAAGGCGGCAGGAGTCCCCAAGTTTGTGCACGTGGGCACCGAGGCTGTGCTCGTCAAAGTGAGCCGCTTTCCACACGGCTCTATTGTCCTTGGAGATCTCTTCCACTCAAACTCCAGCAGAATCGGTACCTGCCCCGAGTTCTCAGTTGGTTTGCTGGGCAATAGCATCCTCTTTACAATGCTTTTGTTGGTCAGTTTCTTGTTTAGATCACACCTAATCGCCGATGTGGCACTTTATTCTCACTAGACTGGTCAGTGTACTACCCGCTTGCCATAACAAAAGCCTCAGACTCTTTCACTGTCCATTAAAATGGCTCTCTCTTGACCTAATTGCACAGGAGGAGCATACGGCCAGGTTGAACAATTTCCTCCTGACGCCACTTCTCGCTGGAAGCTCGAATTGTGCCAGTTCTTAGACTCAATCACGGGATTCTGGGGGTCTAGACCAAGTACCCATGGAGTCCAGACCCCATGGTCCTTAGATTCAATCATGAGAATTCCAGGATTATGGGGTCTGGGCTCTGGGGTTTCAGACTGTCAAGTTGTTAAATCGTCAGAATCAGTCCAGCTTTACCAATACTTCTATGCAGGCAAAGGGTCCGATTGGGCAAGTCGACGAGACTGCCTCAATCGACCCTCCACTGTGGGCCCCATACACTCGAAGCAAGGCCGCCGCAGAGAAGATTGTGCTCGAGGCCAACGATCCGCCCAAGTTTGAGTGTGAGCAATATGTTTTTTGGTTACGTTGGAAAATTTTGGGGCTGCCTACTGACCTGGATTAAAAATGATGATGACTTGCTGCATGTGAACCCCTTGTAATAGTCCTTGTCGTCAAACACGTTGCAGAGGGGAGTCTTTCTTGCTTGCACTGATTGTACTCCCTGCGAACCGAAGTTAAGCGGTTTGAATCTGATCGTTCTGCTGCCAGAATCAAGGTCCTGTTGTGACGACTCCGAAAGCAGTGTTTCGGAGCGTTTGCATTTTCAAATGATGATACCGTGTCATCTTTTGACACGATGCCTTAACGGTTGTAACTCTGCCAGGCGCTTCAAAAGTCCAAAGGACCGCCGCTTCGAGTCTTTGCTGTGACGCCCTTGCACTTCTTGGCCTCATAGTGGACCACTTGTTTTGGCTCTTAGCCTTGACACTGCTTCAATGCCGTGTGCTGTCCAGGCATCAGCGTGCGTCCGCGGTTCATCTGGGGTCGAGGCGACACGGCCCTCAAGCCGATGCTGGCCGCGGCCATGAACGACGGCTCCTACAAGTGGATCACGCCCTCCAGCCGCTCCTCCACGTGCCACGTCATCAACGTCTGCCACGCGCTGCGGCTAGCCGCAGAGGCCAAGGGCAAAGGTATGTCAGCCAGGTACGGCATTGCGAGTTGGGAGTCAGTCCAAGCTGCCGGGTAGCCTGGGGTAGAAACAACGGGCGCATCAGGCAGTCAGCTTTGCGGTGGAGCAAGAAAATCGTCAAGTCGCACAGGTGCTTCGTGTTTCAGCCTGTACTTCGTCTCTTAGAACAGATGGTTTTATTTGCCAGGGGCTTACGCTTCCCCTTGCGGCGCAGGCGGTCAGATCTACTTCGTGACGGACGGCCCCCCGTTGTTGCTCAACGACTTCCTGGCGGAGTACATCTGCTCCGACCCCGCTGTCAAGAAGCCGAGCGGCAGCGTGCCCTTCTGGTTCCTGTGGCGCCTCGAGTCATTCCTAGAGAGCCTGCCGTTTCTAGGGTACGGCGTCAAGCGGAAGCCGCTCGCTGGCCGGCAGGCGCTCGCGCTCATCGGCCAGGACGTCATTGTGGACGACTCCAAGATCCGGCGGGAAATGGGGTACCGACCGCTGGTGACGGTCGAAGAGGGGCTCCGAGATGCCAAGTGACGGCACCAGCTTGTGAAGCATACAGCATGATGCCCCGCCTTGTGAGTTGCGTATATACTAGGCGTCCACATATTCTTTGCAAGGCATCGACGCCGAAGTCAGCGTTGCATGATCGTGGATGCGCCGCGAGTTGCAGGTACCCGTTGCTAAGTTTCCGTTGATAATCAAATATATGATCGAACACTCTCTTATGGAGCGCATTACACCTAGGAACTTCAGCGGTTACAAGTCAAAGAATTTAGGGCACAACAACAATTGGTCAAATATGAAAAGATGAAGAATCACCACTTTCATTGTTTGGGCCCCAGATATGTGTCGTTTTGTCCTGCGCATGCTGAATTGTGGAAACCTTCAACAAAGCTCACGTGCGAGTTCTCTATCCATGAACCCTCTAGAAGTTTTTGCGTCAAACTTATGAGTGCGACTGAGTACATGTATCCATGCAATTGCAGAGGGGTGTACGTTCCATACATGGCCACACTGGGCATTATATATAAGCACGTACGTAGCGCGTAGCTGAACCTCATCCGTTTTGCCCTTAGGTCGATGAGTCCCGATTCGTGGCCCCTGACCGTTTCAGGTATTAGAAATCTGCCTAGCATCCAACCACTTCAATGTGACATATACGACGCGCACACATGTGCCGGCTGAGCACAAAAATGGAAGCTGTAGGTCGTGTTGAAGACTCTTAGATTGAGGACCAACTGGATATGAGTGTGTACCTCCGAAGTGTGGCGATGCAGCATGAAGTGTTGGACCAAGGTCGCGGAGCTTCAGCCGGTCAAGTATGTGCTTACTTACTCTGGTTGCCGGGGTCTTCTCACATGCGTGGGGGCAGGCAAGTGCGGAACATGGATTGAACAGCCTTGCAGATATGCTTGCAAATAAGTAATCTGAGCACGTTTCTGATTTATTGCCGGAACTTGTGAGGACTGACCTTAGCGTCCTACAAAAGCAACCACCTGACAACCTACATGGCCGCTCTGCTGCATTGAAGTTATCTTCCTTTGCTAGCATAAGGTTCTATGCACTTTCTATCCGGCCTGAATCTGTACATGCCAGTGGGATAAGTGCCAACTTGACAACTAGATCCTCTGATTGCAAGAGGTGGATTTCTGGCGCGTGGCCAAAGAGACCGTATCAGCCACTCATCAAGCCTCCTAAGAGCTGGTTACTGGCCCTTTAATGGCTCAATTGTTATGTAACCGATACAGTCTCACCTTTGCATCTCAACTTTGCATTTCTCCTTCTCTTTCGTATCAACACGTGCAGTGCCTCCCCCTTCTAGAGAAGGGATGGACGCGGCGAGCCTGTTGGTCGTCACCTCGAGCTGCTCTGCCAGGATCGATGTCTCCTCCTTGATGGCCAGCAGCTGCTGCACCTGCCAGTGTGAGAGGGCGCACCCCTCCCGCAGAAAGCCGTGGGCCAACCATATCTGGTCGTGCAGCACGCGCCACTCGCGCTGCAGCTGCAGCGCCTCATCCGCCCACTGCCTGCCAGCGCATTAACAACGGCGTTGTAGAATTGCCAAGATATCATGACGTGCAGCTTTCTGGGCAGAGGCTGGCAGGGCACAAAGCACGAAGTGACTGCAGGAATAATCGTCTCAGGGTGTAGAAATGTAAATGATGTAGTCAGTATAAATGGATTCAAAAGCAAAAGCTCGGAAGTTTTGATCTGCCTTCTAGCAGCAATCTAAACCACCGCTGCTAGATCAAGTATATCCAACTAAGGTCGAGCTCTTTTGCAACATGCTGCGCTTAACCATGATGAAGCAAGGACTCTTTGACAATGCAGGAAAGGCTGGGGACTTCTTGTTCGCCCACCTGTGAGGGCCGGTCAGCTTGTTCACATTGGCTGCCAGGAGCTCCACCTCGCGCGCGTTCGCTGCCTGGCGCTTCCGAGAGGCCTCTTCGTCAAGACGGGACATGCCGTTCCTTCAACATTACTGCTCAGGACTGCTCAGCAAGAGTGTAGATAAGAGCAAGGCTACACAGCCTCACAGCCCAGTTGCTACCAGCAGATTGGAAGTGGTGGCACTTGAAAGCAAGCTAGCGGTGCAAGCATAGCCTTGTCAACTTTATCCCTGCACCGTAGTCAAATATAGCTCCTCTTGGTCATCAACACCTACCGCAACCGGATGCCCCCCGCTTCACTGTGCAACGAGCCCGCAACGAGGGCGCTGCCCCCTTTTGTTGAATTGAAACGTGAAGTGTTTTGTGGCTGGCTTGCAGGAGGTTGTTGAAGTTTTAATTACCGATCACTGTCACTGTCAGTGCCTGAGCCTGAGGGCCGAGGCTACAGCAGCACCTGAACAACTGTACACGTTGCAGCGGTGTCAAGAAAGT